GGACATGTAACCCGTTGGTCCAGAATCTAGAGCCCACAACTAGCAAGGCATGGGTCATGAGTCTAGTGAGTCTTGAATCATTGAGGAAGGCGGATATGAAAATGATTTGTCGAATCCGGTCTTCCTTCATTGATAACAAAGCTCCATTAAACCTGGCAAGGAGGGCAGGCTTTGACTTGCCATATAAATATCCAATCCTCTGTAGAACATCCTGGACAACACGGGGAGAATTCAATGAATCGGCAAGGTCGATCATTCTCGCAACAAGCGAAGTAGACTGGGTCTTTAACTCATTTTCAAACACAACTCTTTCTGTTTCATCGAAAGAATCAAGACTTAGAATCTTCAGAAATAACTCGATGGCATCTTCTCCGCACATGCTGGTAGAGTGGACACTGGGAAGCCTGACCGTTGGTAGCGCATGCTGTGAGACCGCGTCCGGTATTTGGGTTTCCCTCCAAGCTTGCTTTTGGGCACTGAATTGCCTTCCCTCAGAGAACTTGGTGGGGTCCAGTAGTGCTTGGAAATATGGACTGTGGGAGATAAGACGCTCGCTTGCCACCTGCCATTTGCGCCTAGTGGATGACAATGAAGAGGCACCAGGAGCGATGTACTCGAGAATCAGGTCACCATCCGCAGAGATGACTCTAATGGGTGACTGCTCGTTATGCTCTTGGAAGTCATTTTGGCCAGAAGGCCCACTTTGGCCTGAGACTTTGGCTGGGTTCATGGTCGTTGGGTTCCCCAGAGGTCTCTGTGACTATGATATAGGGTGAAATTGTGACCGTGGATGTAAAACATTGGAAGTAAAATAATCAAGGGATTCTGTCCAAAGGATTGTGTTATGTACTGTCGTGGTAAAGTATTTTTCAGTCTGATGTGTGCAGTAATGGATGAGGTCAACTGCTTAGCAATTAAGCACTAATCCAATTCCATGATCAGATTTATAAAGATAAAGGGCGAATCTTAACGTATAAAGAGTTCCAAGTGAAGATACAGCAGGATGTCACTTTCACTGTTGATATCCATGTCCACCTTGGCGCGGAGGCGATTTCCACAAGATGACTAAGAATGGGACACGTGACTATAGCCTGATAATTCAGGCGCAATTGTTTCTTGACAGAAGAATAATGCCTCAGGTTTCTAGATCGAGCACGTGCACAAGTTAATCCAGCCATTTATCTGTTCATCAAATTCATTGGTATATGTATAAGACACTTTTAATGTAAATACCGACACGGGCGACTCTTGGCCGGTCGCCAAAAAAAAAAAAAAAAAGGAAAAAAAGAAAACCAGACGGGCGTATAGCATATATACTCAACTACAAAGTTGCCACCCTTGGAAGACAAATCCATCAAAACTCGCCAATCAATGGCTAGCGAGTATGTAGAACAATAAACGCTATCTGTGTGACATTATACAATAATAACCACTGGGAAGTGCATGATTTTGGGGCCCATTCGCTTTGTGGTTTCATGCTCTTGTCGGTTCTTTTCTCGAAGAGCTACCGCTTGCCTGAGTACATAGTATAGGTATTGCGCAGTGTATGGGGTTTCAGAGTCAGGACCACATGGTGTAATCCCATCAGGCTTGAAGGTAGGATCAAACTCAAAGCCGAGGCTTAGAATAGGTGATACAAGAGAGAATACACCGAGTGATTTTCGAACTTCGTTGAGGTAAGGTAAGGTAGCGAGTTTGGCGGCGTTGAGGCCTAGTTGGGGGCTTCCGTTGCCATCGAACAATGCCAATTCAAAAATATCGTTTCCTCGGTGATTCACGAAAAAGGGTTCTTCCGTTGCAAATCCGATGACGAAGTCGGAGTTTGCACATGCGGCGACTATGGTACTCTGGCGGAATTCGGGGGTAAATGCGGTGTCAATGGTGCCGGGTAGACATAGTGCAACGCTCCGGGCCAGTTGCGGGGGCGTTGGGACACCGTCATCTGTGTGAAGGTGCGTGTGCAGAGCCACAGACTCAGTCGTGACGGAAATGGTTGACGATTTTCGTAATGCCGATCCCATACTATTCGGACTGAATTCTTTCCACCCGTTGCTTGTTTCCGTAGAGGGGGTGGCGATTTCCACTTCCTCGCCCGACGAGTAGTTATTCATTTCGGCAGAGATCTCAGTTTGGATTGTCTTTGCGGTTGTCGCAACTGCCTCGCGGGCCGCCAATCTCAAGGTTGGGATCAATATATCATTTTCCTGTTGGTCCACTGGGGCTGCGGGCGCCCAAGAGGTGGCCAGATTGGACCACGTCGCCGTCTTCAATGGCCCACTGGTGTATGACTTCTTGATCAAGTCTGCCAAAGCCTGCCTTGTTTCCAGCGGTGCATCCGCTCTGCCCATGAAATTTATCAGAGGGTTCAGGATCTTGCTTCCTTCCCACAGGAGAAATCTATGTTTCCTAGACAAATACTGAAGCTGTTCGATGGTATCGTTGGACCAGTCGTCGATGACATCGGCCGGAACTTGTAATATGGCGATGTACGGGCCGATATCTGCGGCCAGCCGCACGAGTGAAGCCGAGTCAATGTGATTGACAGATGCATGGGCGACCACGGGCTGCCCATAAGGAAGTGTCTTTTTGGTGGCCGCTAATGTCTGTAGGTAGGCCAAAATTGGGTTCTCGGGGGACCAGTCCCCTGCGGTCGACATTGTGGGTCGTGTAGGAAGGGGAGTGAGCATAGAATGGTATATGGGGTATAATGGAAAAGAGAAGAGTACAAGTACAAAAGAGATGAGAAAAGAGAGAAGGTAGAAAATATGGGAAGGAAGAGGGGCTGAAATCTCCACTACGAACTAGTGTGATGTCTAATCCCTGCCTTCAAATTGGAATTGACCATGCAAAGACCGATAAATAAGCCATAATAGCGTTGTAAGTAATCGTTCCGGCCATAGCCCCGCGTGCCGCGTAGGATAACACTAAACTCTCAGTGGAGACATAGGCCGAGAGCCGGGCGCGTACGGAGTACAGAGATTGTCTTACACTGCTATTGAATATAAGTACGGAGTGCGGAGTATGTACTCGATATGTACTAGTATGCTGTACTTTGTATAGGTGCTAGGGTGGCCTTTGGCTTAACATATCCTTCCCTTCTGGTCTCTGGAGGATCTCGGGTTTCATTTGTACCCGAAGGATCAGACTTTCTGTTCCTGTCAGACTGATTGTACTTATGGGGCTGGTCTCCATTAATGGAGTCAATATGGGGTCCGACTGGGGATTTTCATGTTTATATTAAACCGATCGACCGGGGTGGCAAACGAGAAACCGGTCTGATAAATGGGCCTTCAAACCTTGGGAATCATTCCTGATTCCTGAGAAACCCGCCGAAGGAGCTAGCAGCTTAGGCTGTTGAGCGGTTGAGCGGTTTAGCAGTTTAACCTGATAAATCTAGCCTGTTTGGGTATAGTGGGCATATCTCTTCCTATCTCGGTATAGCCTATGTGATGAGTCTCACTAACTATATTTGAGCTAGTCATAAATGATCTGCTCATAGCCCTACACCTGTGTCCTTCGTATCTATTCGCAGTACTTGGTATGCTCAATATTTGCATGTAGAAGCTACCTAGTGGACTATCAAGTACATATATCATATGCTACATAGTCTCCCGTTTTATTATTCCTTTCCACCATCAGCCGCTGCTGACCCGCCAACTTGACTTATACTTTTGACTACTCGAATGGCATTGATTTTTTGTTCCCTTTGTCAAACAAGATCTCATGCACCAAGACGGCATATAGTATTTGCCGCTGTCATCTTCCCTCCCTTTACCTCTTTATAAACGTTTTGTCTTTTTGTCGGGCTTCCTTCTCGTAGGGTTGTCCTACTTTTTTTTATAGCTCCTACAGACCTATATTAGGCAGCTTCTTGGTGGCGGATGGTCTCTATCTTCAGGAATCTAAAATCATCTCTTCCTAGTTACTCTCTACCTACATGAGAAAGTAGATGGGCTTTTGATACATCTCATTAATGGGTGTTATCAAACTTCCACTTCAGCACAAATATGAAGGTAATGACATACTCCGTACTCCGTACTCTCACCCTTTATCTTTTTTAGTTAGATCTCAACACCTAAGACATCTCTACTCCACTCACTGGCTTTTGACTACAACAGTTGTAGGTTTTCAATTTTGGGCGAGGCTGAATGTGAGTATGCAATCCATTTCGCTAGCTTTCAATTTTACAGATATGATATATCGGAAATGCTTCAGTTTCAGGTCGATTTGAATTTTGATTACATCCTGCTATCCTTTATTACATGGCGTAACTTATTTTGACAAACAATGCTGTGCATCTGGCTTCGTTTCTTCTAACCTTCTCTTTGTACGTCGCAACAACACAAACTCCCGAGGTCCTGCTTTTTATAACTCCTATCTTGCCAATTCTGCTGCCTAGAAAGGTCAACCTAAGCAAAAAAAAACAACGCTCAAACGCAAGCTAAGCAGGATGCTGGGGGATTATTACGGGGTAGAGAGCAAATAATAACCTTGGAATGGTAGGTACCTACCTAGGTAAGTAGCAGCTGAGCTAAGCCTGGACCGCGATTTCCCCTCAACGCCTCATCAATGCGGCTAAGATATAACAGCCCCACCGAGAGGAAATCGCATCAAATATGGAGAGTTATATACACAACTAACATAAGTTAATACCTTGCAGTATCAAAATTAAATAAGGAGTTACATAGGCTACCTAGTTACCTAGTTACCTAGGTTATCAATCCAAATCCGAGACCCCTGTTTAAACATGTGGTCTGATCCAATTGTAAGTCGAGGATTCGAAATTTTCCCAAGGCTCCGGGAGCGGGCGGATCCCTGGTTTTCTTTTTCTTTTGGGTGTCACGCCACGCCTCCCCTTAATTCTTATTATTGCCGCTTTGCCTCTCGGATTTTCATTTTCATTTCCCATCCTATCTTTTTTTCCCCTATTTTCTATTCTCCCGATTCTCCCGATTCTCTCGATTCTCCCTATTTTGCTTCTCTATCGTCTTTCCGCCAACATGCCTGGGAGAGTTTTGCCGACGTTTACCTCTGCCGAAGTCCAATCTCACAACAACGCCAAGTCGTGTTACATCACCTTGGGGTCTAACGTTTACGATGTCACCGATTTCCTCGACGCCCACCCCGGTGGTGGTGATCTGATTCTAGAGTATGCCGGCAAGGATGTGACAGATATTCTGAAGGATGAGATCTCCCACGAACACACCGACGCGGCCTATGAAATCCTGGACGAGTACCACATTGGATTTGTCTCCAATACCTCCACGCCTGGCAAAACTGCAACAGCAACAGCTGTCACCGAGACAGTGACTGAAACCGAATCTGGCCCCGTTTATACAACCACTGGAATGTCGCGGGAGGAGGATTTGTCGATGGATACCGACTATAACCAAGACTTTAAAACCCACAAGTTCCTGGACTTGAGCAAGCCACTTCTGATACAGCTGTGGAACAGCAAATTCTCCAAAGAGTTCTACTTGGAGCAGATTCATCGGCCTCGTCACTACCGGGGAGGGGAGTCCGCTCCTCTGTTCGGCAACTTCCTGGAGCCTCTCAGCAAGACCGCATGGTATGTCGTGCCAATTATCTGGCTGCCATGTGTTGCCTACGGACTTACTGTGGGAGCTACCGGTCTGGGTAGCTCCACTGCTGCTGCCTCTTACTTCTCTGGCGGCGTATGCCTCTGGACTCTCATCGAGTATCTGATGCACCGATTCCTCTTCCACATTGACCACTGGCTTCCAGACAACCGTGTTGGTCTTACTCTGCACTTCCTGCTTCACGGTATCCACCACTATCTCCCAATGGATAAGTATCGTCTTGTTATGCCACCGACACTGTTCGTGCTTCTGGCTGCTCCTTTCTGGAAGCTGTCACACGCAGTCTTCTATTACAACTGGTACGCGGCTACATCGGTATTCTGTGGCGGCGTCTTTGGATATATCTGCTATGATCTCACCCATTACTTCCTGCACCACCGCAGGTAAGTTGAACTTTTATCTCTGATACAATGAACCCACGCTAACATCGATCTAGTCTCCTTCGTACTACAAGGAGCTCAAGAAGTACCACCTTCAACACCATTTCGCCGATTTCGAGAATGGCTTTGGCGTGACTAGTCGATTCTGGGATCGGGTCTTCGGCACCGAATTGGTCGCCCCAACTCCAAAAGGCGTGAAGGCTCAGTGAGCACAATGAATCCAAGCATTAATATAGGGCTATTACTAGTCCTCAAGTCACGATTTAACGCCGAGTACGATGGAGTTACTACTTTTCAGTACTCTCTGAGTACATTGGCTACTGTGGAGTTTCTGGTTGGTCTCAGGGGTCTACTTCTTGTACAGTAGACTTCGGCTTGTGATCTCTTGTCATGGTACTAGATGCAAGGCGGAGTTGCTTCCTTTTTTTAACAAGCATCACTTATCAGTGTATATGACCGTTAATCATAATGCAAGAAATTAATATCTATATCTTTAAGCTATCTATTGCCTGTAGTTTCCACAGTTACTTGGCTGAACTTTCGGTGTTTTGCTCGCCAGGTCACCAGGTCACTAGTTAGCGGTAATTACTGGTAAGGGTTTACTAGTAATTACTACATAGTAGATTTTAGAAAATATTAGTTAACTAGTTAGGTAGATCAATTTCATGTGTGTACCTTTGACCTGGCTAGGTCACCAGGTCATACCTGAGTTTTTTCCCAGTGGCTCCCAACAAAACTGGTGGGGTGCTATCTGTGAGAGCATCTGATTCCTTACACACCGTAGAGTGATAAACCGGGTCTATTCTATCCCTCGCGGTACCTTCCTACTGTGCCACTGAGAAAGACATGAGGTGCCCAACGAAAACGATGATACTCAAGAGGCTGCAGACCTCGACCTAAGAACACACTCTCCCTTCATAGCTTGTTAAGTAGAATCATAGACTATGATTCAATTGGAGGAAATATTCCCTAGCTAATTATACATTTCGCCACGCAAGGCGCAGAGGAAAAACAAAGCAAAGCGTGGTGGACATACAGCGAGAATAACGTGGAGCCAAAGCAACGGGCAGAACGATAGAAACATGAAAAGGATAACGAATAAGAAGAGTAAACCCGCTGCAGCGACCGAAGGTAGCAATTCAGGTAAGAATAATCACACGCAGCCTCAATGGCAATCAGTCTACGAATGGGCAGCTAGAGCACCCGGGAACTAATCCACGTCTTCATCGAACTCTTCAAAATAAAAATTGCTAAGGCTGTCACGAGATGAGCGAGGACGATACTCCATTCCTATTAAGGCGACGACACTTTCTTTCACAGTAAGGCTCGACATATTCGAACCCTATGTCGGAACCCTCATCCTCACTATCACAATCCCACGGCTTCATAGGGTCGTTGGCTGCTCCACTGAGGGCACAGATCCTATGAAGAATCCATTGCATTTGGAGGATATCCCATGATGGCAATGGCAGATTTTCTGGATCCTTGGTTCGGAAAATGACTAGATCACCAGAATTTATCTTATGCGAGGATCCATCAGTGTCCTCAATCTTTATGAGATTGAATAATTCACTAGGGGGATGAAGCGGAATGCTCGGTTTGTTCTAGACCTGAACATTGCGTGGCGTGAACTCGGGCAGCCAGTAGAAACGTGTGATCAACTCCTTACCATCGTCGCGTAGATGGAGCGGCTGGAGGGCAAAGTAACAAGCCCCCCAAAGCCTATGAGCGTCGGGGGATAAGCAAAGCAAATTCTCGCAAAGTTCTGTGCCATTTGGGCCCGTCAACCGGGCTTCCCATCCATCAACTTGGTCTTTAGGCCAGAACAAGTGTAGCGTTGTCTAGAAGTTAACGTACTTGTCAGTAGACATCTTGTTATTTCCCGATGATTCACTTTTCTTTAGGGACAGCGGGTAGATATAAGCCACATCTACCAAGGGAAATTGGTGATCACACAGCTGGAATCGTCGCGCTCAAGACACTAGTCAAGTTGTTAGTGTATAGATCATTCCTCACTCCATACAAATTAGATAACTTACAGCTGTTTTGGCACTGAGTTTTCGCTTCGGGGTCTCCTCCCCCAACTTCCGCTTCCCCTGAGTCTCAGAAAGCGCGATATTCCTCGGCCTTGTTTGCCCTAAGGAGTTTCAATGTCAATACTTCTGTCGGTTAGAAAAGGGTATGAAAGGCGAAAAGAGCTCACAAGCCCTGAGCATAGTGAAAGTACTATTGCCTATCATTGATGAGTTTGCATTGGGTTGGTAAGATTCCACCGACCGGACAATCCCCCGAAGGCATTCAATATCAGACAACCAGAGGCATGCCCAATATGTTGAGTCCGCCTCGCTTTGCTCTGCCTTCTCTCTTAGTCTGTCGATCAACTTTGCTCTCTCGGTATCCCCAACTTCTGGCAATGGATCAATAGGTGGAGGGCTCCATGGAATATCAGCAACTGGCATTGTAGGATTCTCGATCGGAGGCGCTTCATCAAATCCAATAAGCTTTGACGAAGGTTCCATGTTGTCGTGATGGACTATGGTGATGGTTGGTGGGTGAAGAAACTGCGGAGATGGGTGGAGTTAGTCGAGTGCTCTCAGCACTGGAAGGCACGTAACTTACCTGACTTCCTTCCGAGGCCCAATTGAGACGGCGCAATACGTAGTGATGCCGACACAAAAGTTTGCTTGGCGGTCGGAAGTCAAAGTAAGATGAAAAATGGGAACTCAATTGTGTCAGCCAGTGATGTGTAGACATGACCTACTTGTTATTCATGATGGGAATAATGAGAAGCGTCAGGCTAATAAGCCACGAATACTCAAGAACCCACTGCCCGCTATTGCAACAGTGGACCTCAAGTGTCCAGTGAGAGTATAAACACAATAATCGAAGGGAGGAATTTCTTTCGGCTCATAAGCCCTAGCACATCTTGAGGAAGAGGGGAGGGAGATGATGGGAATAGGGACAGAGGGAGAGACAGATAGACAGACGGACAGAGACAGAGACAGAGAGGGAGTACGGGCGACTAAGTATGCCACCGGCACGGTCAATGTTGTACGCTCTTGCAAATCAAATCGAAGGACGATACTAGGGATGGTGCCGGAATATAGAATAGGGATCACTGTCACATAACTCTCTCATTGGTTTATATTGCTATGCAGTAACATATACCCACTCCGACTTTACAAAAACCAACCTCAGAATTAACTAAATAAGTCAACTAGTTAGTTAGTAGTAATATTGAACCTAGATGATGCCTTATAATGCCTTAGAAAATATATATAAAGAGATATCTAAAAAGACAACTAAAAAGACAACTAAAAAGACCCTGAGAAGAACATCCAAAAAAGAATATCTATTAAGATGTTAGTGTATACTTGGACACAAAGAATCTGTAGTGAGAAGAATCTATCCTAGAATCCTTAGATTCCGAATCTATAGTTAGAGGTATTATTAGCCTCCGACCACTAACCTTTCGAAATAGTAATATCTTATATAATATTATAATTATACGCTATACGCCGGCGTACCTCCTAAAGACGTTTAAAACCTTTATAAATTAATCCTCCTCCTATTATAATATATAGCGCTCATAGTATTTAGGTTCGATCCGAAAGATTAAGCCTACTAGCCGGTCGGTTAGTGTTATAAAAAGAATAACTATATCGATACTAATTAACTCGCTACCGATCTTACTTAGCCTACTACCGTTAGTAGCCTCTACTTACTTCTCCCCGAACCGAAGGATAAAGTATATAAAGGATAGGGAATCGGGATTATAAGCTACTATCTAGCTTATAAATAGATAGATAGGAACGAGGTATATATAAAGGTCCTTACCCGTCAGGACTACCTTAGCCGCCGTTTCGTATAACGAATAACGAACGGAAAGCAAACGAGGAACGGAGAAGAGCAAACGGGTGAATCGAGGAGTTGCCTAGTTAGGCTTGATTGAAGCGTAAACTCCCGTCTACAAACGGGAAAAGGGAATATATATAGCTAGCTAGTCACTAGGCCTAGCCTCCCCTCTTCATCAATAAGATTCCAGATTCACCCCTACTTCTACCAACTGGTTAGTTATAGATTGACACCATTACAATGACCTGGTGACCTAACCAGGTCAACCCAAATTTTGGAAGTTGAGGTCACCAGGTCACCAAGTCATAGAAACCCCTAGAATTTACTAGTAATCACAGCCAACCGGTGACCTGGTCAACCCCCTATTCATGAGTAAAGTCCAGATTTAGCCTACTGCATGGATAAGTGAGCATTTGTACCATTATCCCTAGATTGCGCAGGTGGACAGAAGGTCTAAAAGAAAAAGCAGACAAGGGGGAAGGGCCAGACAAAAGAAAATGGAGATTCTCCCACAATGGGATTGTTATTGTTTTCGGCAGGTAACTAACGAGTTATAGTTGGTTAAGATAGAAATTAAGGTTGCAAGTTCAACCTTTGAAGTTCTCAACAGAGTGTTTTTGCCTAAGGCAAAAATCGAAAATCTCCTCCGGGTATATCGGCTTTACCTTTTTCCGAAATTCACCGCCTCTGACTCTGGGCTCTGTGACCCAACCAAAACTTATTTATATATTATACCATCACCTACGTCAATTCCTCCCTCGACACCCTGTCGCGCGTGTGGTGTGTCTTTGAAAGAAAGACGTGCGTTGGAAATCAGCGGAAGATTCCGTGATCCATCCCACTCATAAGGGTTCGAAAACCAACTCTGTGTCCCCTACCGCCATCTGACCCCTACAAAGTGACAATATCCCTCTACCCTGGTCAATTATTTCTCTACCCCGATCAACGACAGGCTACCTCCCGAAATGTCTGGACTTGATGTAGAGGCTCTCCTTGAGTCTACTGCGGCCGCCCCCGCCGAGGCCCCCGCCACATCTGAACGCCATGACGACCACCCCCGCGCCGACCCCAGCGAGCGCCGTGATCGTTCCCGCGACAGACGCCGTCGCCGCGACCACAGCCGCTCCCGCCGCCCTGACAGAGATCTTGAGGGCGATGAAGTCATGAACGACACTGCTAGTGCTAACGGAAGCCTTAGAAGCCGAAAGAGGAGCAAGAGTCGCGAATCTGAGCGACGCCGTCCTCGCCGTGACCGTGAAGGCTACCGCTCCAGCGGTGACTTCTATCGTGGTGGTGGTCGCACTCGTTCCCGCTCCCGTTCTCCCTATGATGATCGCCACTACCGGCCAAATCGCCGCCAGCGTGATGAAGAAAGACGCCCCCGCCGTGGATCTCCTAGCCGCAAGTCTCCCGAGCCTAATGAGGATGAACGTGACAGGCGCACTATCTTTGTGCAGCAACTTGCTTCTCGTCTGAGACCCAAGGATCTGATTACCTTCTTTGAAAAGGTTGGCCCCGTTAGGGACGCTCAAATCGTCAAGGATCGGGTTAGCGGACGCTCCAAAGGGTATGTTCTCATATAAATCTTCTTTATACAAGCACTTGCTAATATCTTCATAGTGTCGGTTATGTCGAATTTAAAAACGTGGAGTCCGTTGACCCTGCCCTCGACCTCACCGGCCAGATGCTCTTAGGAATTCCCATCATTGCGCAACTGACTGAAGCGGAGAAGAACCGCCAAGCTCGCAACCCCGAGGCTACTGCAGGAAATCAGCACACCGCACCATTCCACCGGCTCTATGTTGGAAACGTCCATTTCAGTATTACCGAAGAAGATCTCACCAATGTTTTCGGACCATTCGGCGAGCTCGAGTTTGTTCAGTTGCAAAAGGATGAAACCGGTAGAAGCAAAGGTTATGCCTTCGTCCAGTACGTTCCCCCCCATATTCTTAGCATTTCACTAACCCACTTGACCAGATTTGCCAGCCCCGAACAAGCTCGGGAGGCTTTGGAAAAGATGAACGGATTTGAACTTGCTGGACGAGCTATTCGGGTTGGTCTCGGCAATGATAAGTTCACCCCCGATGCGCACGTCAATCGCCCCTCTGGTGCTGCATCTTCAAGCTTTCAGGGTTCTTCGTTCTCCGGTCAGGGAGGTCGTGGCGTTCAAGCCGGAGGTTCCAACAACTTTCACCGTGCTGGCGGCAGGGAAACCGAAAAGAGTGCCGGTGCTAGTGCACTTGACGACACGGATGTTGCTGGTGTGAACTTCAAAAACTACTCTAGGGATGCGTTGATGAGGAAGCTTGCACGAACTGATGACCCCCAGCCTTCTGTCGACGACCGTCAGAAGTTACTCCGACCCAAGACCGAGACTAAGCCGCTTCCCATCAATGTCAATATGGCTAGTCGGTGTGTCTTGCTTCGTAATATGTTTGACCCCGCCGAGTAAGTTTTCTTGAACTTCATCATGAGAGAATTTGAATCCTAACTCGTTTTACAGAGAGACCGGTGAAAACTGGGTCAAAGAACTTGAGGAGGACGTCCGCTCGGAGTGTGAGGAGAAATACGGCCACGTTATTCACATTTCACTAGATGCCAATTCACAGGGAGATATCTACCTGAAGTTTGATCGCGTCCAAGGTGGCGAGAATGCGATCAAGGGCCTCAATGGCCGATACTTTGGCGGAAAGCAGATCACCGCCCAACCCGTTGTGGACGCCGTTTACAGCACTCTCTTCTCTCGGACTAAGGCTATCTAGATGCTCACCCCCGAGTACATCCGTTTTTATTCGAGCGAATCTAACCTGGCACACTCTCTGAAGGCAGATCCCGCTAACGTCTTGCTTGGACTTGGTGGACGGTTCTGCTACCCGGTAGGTGCCACTCTTTAGCGTTGTCTTTTCTGGTTTTCTTGTTTTTTCTTGGTCGGCCACTTTCGTGTTTCATCACGTGACCTAGTCATGTGGCTGGCGCCCCTTCAAATGTTCTTAGCTGGCTTTGACCACGTAGTTAGTCAGTTAATTGATCATCTCTAGTTACTTGTCACTACAACTTGTACCAAGTTTGGTAACTAGTATGTCCTGAGATCCACCTCAGAGGGTTCCCTAGGAATAATTTTCAAGACAATTTGAAATTCAAAACTAAATTTCAACTAGGACACCCTACGGGGCTAGTCCTCCGCGAGGCTGGTCTCTCCCCTAAAGGCCCCGTCCTATCAACATTAGCTATTATCAAAGCCTATTTCGAATTCGAATAGACTATAAACTATAAACTACGATACGTTTAGTAAAGTAGTTCGATAATTCCAATGTTATATCTAGCTTAGCTAGCCTTAGGCTAATGACTTTGATTCGGATACGCGATCGAGAATCGAGAAGTATATCCACTTCTTAGTATAATTATAAAAGATCTTCACGGGAATCGTGTAAAGATAGTATCATGATCTGTGCATAACAGGCGAACATAGCTTCAATTATATCGGTAAGTGTATGCTCCCTTTATTAGTACATGATGTACAACATAACTACTATAACTAACTAGTTAACTAACTAGTTATGTTGTAGACACGAAAAGAATGTGCCGGTGCCGGTCCAAGCCATCTTATCTGCCGACGCTCGGACCATATGTGTTCTCCCCACGCCCAGTTCCTTCAACCCTCTTTTCCTCCCAGCTATTTTCTTTGTAATTCGATGGGCCAATGACTTTCCTTTCAGCGAGGCGAGTAACAGGCCGGGTCTGGACCTCGGCCGACTGTTACAGTATGTGCGACCAGAGTTACATGCTTATCTGCGGCCATGAAGATCCTTGAAAGCACCTAGCTAACCTAGGAACACAACCCAGGCTTCGCTCTCCTTCATCGAGCGCGATGCTACAGTACCGAGTCTGTGCCGCCCGGTCATTCTACAGTTAGGAAGCAACCACAGTTCCGCGATTACTTTGTCACCCACCTGCCATCATCTTCGCTTCATCCGGACCCCCGTGGACCGTCCTCGTCATTTCATAAACTTCCTCGCTCCGCCTCTATACCTCACACCGGAGATACCCCACAATCCCCAGCTACCTTACAAGCTTTAATAGACCGTGACACAACAGTCGTCCGAATTCCACTCCGCAATGCAAAACACCATTTCGGCGCCGTCACCTCCCGCGGAACCCGCCCCTCGAACGAAGACACGTACCAAGCCGGCGTCATTGACATCCCCGCCTTTGCAAAGCGAGCGCCAACTTCGCTAACGATTAGACGATCTAATAAAAACGATCCTTTGGCCTACCCCCGAGAGTCACGCGGAGCAGAAACAGCTAGCGGAGACCCACAAGTCTTCTATTTCGGTGTCTTTGATGGCCATGGCGGATCCGAGTGTAGTTCGTTCCTGAGGGATTATCTGCACGAGTATATCCAAAACGCGGCATTTGATATCGAACTTCGCTCCAGCCTTCGACCTGGTGCCGAAGTGCCACCCACCACTAGCGAACTACCTGTGATGCAAGAAGGTGACCGACGCAGAATCGGAGACCTAGAGAAATACCTTGTGCAGACATGGAGACGGGTAGTTGGTGGCTACTTCAAAAGATTCAAGCCGCCGCATTTTGGATACAATGGCACCGAGATCATCGACCCGAGTATTGAGAACCACATCTCCATCGAGGAAGTCGTGGAATACGCCTTCCTGCGTGCGGATCTAGATTTTGTCAACGCTCAGGCAGCTAAGCGAGACGATGATCTAGTCCGAGCCGAGAGACCTCTGAACGAAGATGAAATCTTTCATAGGCCCAGCATGACCCGATCTCCCCAGATCGGTGGAAGCGCCCGGTTCAAGGGTGGCAGCACCGGGAGTGTCGCGATGATCTCGACCCCGACGCCAACTCCCTTCTGGCACCCCATTGCCCCATCAAGTCTCCTGGTTGCTCATGTCGGCGACACCCGCATGCTCCTCTGCTCAACAGAAACTGGCCAAGCCATCCCCATCACATCAAACCACCACCCCTCCTCCCCGATCGAGGCAACCCGACTCCGACGGTACGCCACAAGCTTTGTTACTGACTCCTTCGGCGAAGAACGTATGAGCGGGTTAGCCAACACGCGCGCTTTTGGTGATGTCCAGTCTAAGCGCATCGGGGTCTCTGCTGAGCCTGAACTTAAGCGCATAGAGCTTGGCCCGGCCGAGTTCTCGTTCTTGGTTCTAGTATCTGATGGCATCAGCGGGACGCTACCTGACCAGGAGGTTGTTGATATCGTCAAGGAATCTAAGACGCCGGAGCAGGGGGCGCGTGATGTGGTCAACTTCTCGACTGAGGTCACTAAGGAAGGTGACAATGCTACTTGTCTTGTTGTTCGCCTTGGTGGGTGGGAGCGTCGTCTCGAGGGCGGTGTCGGTAGTATGGGTACTAGGGAGTCTCGCGAGTGGCGTCTACAGGATGCCACTGATCCGCGCAGGTCACGGACGTGAATGGGTATCTTCTAAGGTTGTATGTACTCCATATATTTGGGGGGGGTTATGTTCTGTACATAATGTTTTTTTTTATCTTTTTTTTATTGCCTCTAGGCTAGCCTTATATAATTCAAATGTCTATAAAGCAGATTATCATTATACAATGATTATAATAGGTCACATCAAGATATACTATGTTGTATATGTTTCAAGTCAAAATATCACGATCATCTCCAGGTGGACCGCGTGGGGAAAGCTCAAGTCCAAGGTTCCGAGTAACCCGCAAGGACATTCCACAATTTCCTTTCTTCTTTCATCCCTTCTTTTTAATTTCATCTTCCTTTCTTTTAATTTTATCTTAACCTTGCGGAATTTCTTAGAAGTTTCAAGTGCGTGTCAACAAAACACGCTTATCTCCCTTATCGTTGAAATTTCTCCTAAAAGTTCCCACCTGGACACCTCCTATCCTTATCCTAAGGGAATTCGCTATATTCTTATCTCGCTGACACGGTGTGTTTTCCCTCTCTACATCTGCATTATAACCCGAATCTAACACTATATAGACCAACTATCCGGTATCCATACGTCCCCGACCTATAAGAGAAAACAGTTCGCTAGTTACATCCCTTTCACATCACAATGAGCGCAAGAACACGACGACAAAAGGCTTCCCTGGCCGCTGAGGAGAGCGAAGATTCACCTAGCAATGGCTCCGTTTCGACACCTTCAAAGCGCGCCTCCTCCAAGAAGAGGGCCAGATCCGCCGCACGGGAAGAGAGCAAGGAGAGCGAGGATGTCAAGGAAAACATCTTCCTTTTCACTCCGAATCTTATCGGTAGACTGCCCCGCGGGGCTTTAAGCTTCAAGCTGCCACATAGCTAACGCATTCTTAGGATATTCCCGAGTCTTTTTGACCTTCGCCTCCTTATATTACATGCCCCTCCACCCCCGGACCTGCTCCTTCCTCTACACGGTGTCCTGTCTGCTGGACGGCCTGGACGGTTATGCAGCACGATACTTCAACCAATCCACCACCTTCGGTGCTGTGCTGGACATGGTGACCGACCGCTGCACCACCGCGTGTCTCCTAGTCTTCCTGAGCTCCGCCTGGCCCCGATGGGCCATCCTCTTCCAGGGTCTCATTAGCTTGGACATGGCCAGCCACTACATGCACATGTACGCTACCCTGAGTATGGGCGGATCCAGCCAGAGCCATAAGAAGGTCGATCCTAGCCGTAGCTGGATTATGTACCAGTACTACACCAGCAAGGTAAGACACCGTCGCAGCGAACTGATTGTGCACGTCCACGAGCTTATCCGCAATATTTTATTAGGTCGTTCTATTTATCTGCTGTACTGCCAATGAAGCCTTCTTCATCGGCCTTTACCTCCTGTCTTTCTCCTCGCCAACCCTATCCCCCTCGCTCCTACAGCCCGTTTCCGATTCCCAGCTGTCCTCCGTCCAGCCCGGAAACCCCGCCCACCCCGAGCCAGCCAGCCTCTTTGCCAGTCCCTGGAGCGCCGGTGCGCTGGAGATGGCGCGTGCGAACAAACTGGAGAGCACCTGGCCGTGGATCATCACCGGTATCTCGTTCCCCATCATGGCCTTCAAGCAGTTCGTCAACATTGTCCAGATGGTGAACGCCAGCAAATGGCTTGCTGAGGGCGATCTCGCTGCCCGTCGAGCCAACCGCAAGAAGTAAAGGACAGGAAATACGTCAAAGTTAGACGGTAGCTCTTTGGAGCTTCCGATTCCTTCCTACTTGTTATGCATGTCTTTGGAGCTACGGTCTGCTTGTTCAGGGATGTGCAAGTAGACAGCGCTAGGAGCTGTCCCTTCCTCCCTAGGGGAATGGTTGGACTGGTAGCTGAATCCTACTCATAAGCGTCTTGGACAGGAATGATGGCTTTTGGTGGCCAGGCATGGTCCGGATTCTGGGACCCTGTACAGTACACACGGGTTATGTTTTTTTTTCTTTTTGCCATTTGTTCTCTTCTCCTCGCTTTTCTTCCTTTCTGTTTACCCTTTTCTTACTTCTCGCTTTGTCGGGCTCTGTGTCGTCGGCCTGGTTCTTCAATCTTGTCACCTTTTCCCCTTAGTGCCTCTTCCGGTCTTTCATCATTGTTAACACCGTCTTATACATCATTTAATGCATTGCTCTTGTGTCTGACTCTAGCTATGACTGGGTGAGACCTGGTCAACTATAGCCGTGGAATATTGCTTCCGATACTTGATATTGCCTTTACCCATCATATTTGTCCCTTTGATTTCAGCTATTGCGCTTTTTCAAGTCCTTATTTTGGGTCTAAGAACCTCCTCTGGCATAGTACATAGGCAAAGGGTTGCTTACCATAAGCTGTAGGCAGTAATGACGATATTCAGATCCTTATACCAATTCCTAAAATAATTTAATTGGCCAACACAACACCTTCCTTTATTTCATCCTACTTATCTTTGGTATAAGGATATCCTGATCGATCGCTTCACAGCCACCCTTGGCAAATAATCCAAGAACGTGTGGTGGGTACATATGTAGCGATTAATTTTGCGTCTAGTCCGTCAGATAACTATTTGTATCAAACACGTCCTTTTTTTTTCATTATATATCCACAACCGATTTCCCCAGTTCTGACTCTTATGACTCTGTCACCTCATCTAAACTTATATAACTATATTTTCAAGTCTTCAAGTAATGCAATGACGACAATTCTACGTTTGTCACATCTCAAGAATCACGATCTCTACATCGGGTCCGTACTCGTATCAATGCCGCCATTGAGCGCTGATAAAATTGGAGCCAAGGATAAAGCCCCTCTCAATAGGGACTCTATACACAGTATTTTTAACTCTATCCCCAGTTTATGCACATTAATCGGATCCCACGGGAAATCCTTGATGGTTGATCCTCGCCACCATGCAGGTACTTATAAACCTATATTTCCCCACTGTAAAACCCGAGTAGTGCTATTTCCGGACAAACATATTGATCTTCGCTTCCGATATCGAGACTCAATATTCAATATGGGAGACAACGCCGAATACATAACCCGACACGTCGACGCAGACCTCCGCTTTTGGAGACGCCGGGATGTCAACAATAATGTCCAAGCCAACTTTGCCAGGGGTAAACCGGAGGATAATCCGACGGAAATGGGCGTGCTGGCCGAGATGCATAAGGTCCATGTGCAGGATATCCGGGGACAAGAATCATCTTACACACTGGACAAGAACGGATTCGTATACCTGTCCCATGAAATGCCCGAGCTTGATAAAATCTCGGACGAAGAGCATATTAAAGATGCGATCATCCAGAAGACTGAAGAGTTAGTTCGCAGAATGTCAGTATTGATATCAGAATAAACATGTTTGTCTTCGAGAAGCTGAGCGATGTCGCAGAACTGGTGCTACGAGGACAATCACATTTGTACATCGAGTGCGATGCCTTGCAGAAGATGGAGCCTTGCTCGCTCGCAACCGCGCCCCGGCACACAGCGTGCACTCGGACTTCACAACTAGGGGTGCACTCCACCACCTGAAGACGCTTGTTCCGGACAAGCAGGAGCGCAAGCGTCTCCTCGCTAACCGAGTCCTGATTGTTAATGTATGGCGGCCGTTGAAAACCATCCAAAGGGATCCCCTCGCAGTTTGTGACTGGAGCTCCGTTAATATGCGAGACGAGGGTATCGCTACTCGGTTAATGCTGCCAAATGGGTGGAATGAACTCGGGCGATATGCGTTTAGTCCGAGTCAGAGATGGTATTATCTCAGCGGTCAACAACCCAATGAACCTCTCATTTTTACACAATTTGATAGCTCCAAAGTGGATGAGGGAGGATTCACTGTACCACACAGTGCGTTTGTTGATCCAGAATATAGTGATTCTGCTGCAAGGGAGAGTCTGGAAATCAAAATGTTTGCTTTTGTTTAGTATATATGTTTGTTGTGTTTGTTGTGTTTGTCATAGGGTCACAGGGGGAGTGAAAGGAGTGAAAGGAGCAGACCTTGCTAGTTTCACCTGAGCAGAGTCTTCAAGGCTATATTTAGTGTCCTCACAGATCAGGCACTCCATTAATTATTAACTAGTTAAATAGTCAACCTTGGGAGGTGATTTCTTTCAGCTTCCCGAATTAAAAAAAAAAGAAAAAAAAAAAAAAAAAAAAAGATAATACACTAAAATGACTCAGTTCTTTATTGCCTAGCTTGAAGGCATCTAGAAAATATCTCCACGTTGAACACGTTGCACACGTGTGTGTTCGATGCAAGGTGTAAAAGTTCAAATATCCCTTGCTACCCAAATTGCCTAAATAAACCGGAGACTGACAGAGGCTCCCCCTTGAATATTTGGGGTGCAAGTTATAGGGTGATTTAGGGTGATTTAGGGTGATTTAGGGTGATTTAGGGTGATTTAGGGGGGTTTCAGGATTGTTTAGGGCAGTTAAGGGTAGTTTAGGGTAAAGTCGGAAAGGGAAACGGTCTTTGTTGCCTGATGCGATCGTCATTCGGTCCGCACGGCACTATTAAGGAAGATCCGGCATCGGCTCATTTCCAATCACCTTATGACACGGCAGTATGGAGTTATGGAGTCTATGGAGTTATTTGATGTTTCAATGATTTTTCTTTTGTTTTAATATTTTAGTATTTTAATATTTTGGCAATATTTGGCAATTTCTTGACCTTATGGCTCATAATACCATTCTATCATAATCTTCGTGAGGCTCATTCCTGAGGCGAATCACCTCATTTAAACAACCTTGGAAAATAGCATAAAAAAGTTTAATAATTACTCACACTGGGGGTCCTCAAATGACGCGATGGTATTTAATTATAACATAAAATAAAAAATATCACGCCTTTCAACCCAATTGGAACTAGTGTAGGACCTTGTAGGTATACGAAGGGTATAAGGTGATCAAAGATCTTCTCTCGGCATGGTCCCACCGAGAGAAAGTGGGTCTGGGTCGTTTTTCTCCTTTAAGTGACTCACTTGGCAGTTTACTCTACATATAAAGAGTCACCCCTGCTGCATATTACAATTTTTTTCCCCCTTCTCTCAGTACCTCATCTCGTCCCTTGGAGGTGATGGTCGCTCCCCTCCATATCAAAAGTTCTTTTATTTCGAATCTCTCTACTTGTGAGAATGGGCCAGAGGCATAACAGACGCCGCACTCGTCGTTCAAGCAATCGCAACATACCTTCTACTGTTCTCGCTCAACATCCGACTTTGCCTGTGGAAATCAAATCAACCATTCGGACACCTCAGAACAGCTTTTGTGCGCTTGTGTCTGCCGACAATTCTCCTAACACATGCATTTCCCGTGGATCTCCCCCAGTCACCCTCGCCCCATCATGGCACTATGGGTATACAGCCTGGCAGACCCGTGAACGCCCCTCGCGGCTGGAATCAAATGGGTTGGAAGAAGCACAGTGTCGTCTGTTCGGCGGAGAGCCGGGCGACGATGTGAGCCTCTGTTATCGGATGCTTGAGTACTTCGGTGGACTCGACTATATCGACTCGTGAGTATCAGCCTCGTTCCTGATTCACTTAAAAACACCAATCCTGACATCTATTTCAGAACGAGTGGCCATGCCCTTGGAGATTGAATGCCTGAAGTTTCCATCTGGAGACTTAGCTGGACGCATTGTCCATCTTTTTTTTTTCCAGTCAACAAAAAAGACAAAACACCAAAAACGATTTCACGAATTTGCGACGTTTATGACTCCGCATTCGACATATAAAACAAAATGAAAAACGCCATCGAAAATATACCGACAACGTGACGCCCTGCGTCTTCTGTCACCCACTGCAAATGCGCCCACACCACACTGAAGTGGCAAGAACGCTAGATCACACGGATTATCCCGGGTCCCCGACTTGTAGCAATGAAGATGCCTCTCACGAGGTTTCGGATTGGTCCCTTTTGACCCGGCCGTGTGGATGCTGGTCCACTGATTGTATCGCACATATGAGAAAATGAGTCATAGGCATTTTCTGGCTGATGCTTCCTATGCTTTGTCTAGATTGGTTGAGTTTGCGTCCGACCTCGTGTTGTTGATGCTTGAACTCCTTTTCTGGGTGGACTAGGAAGGTTTTGGTTATCTTTGTTATGAGGGGAGAATTGTGTGCGATGGATCTGTTCTGTCAATACTCCTAAACTGAAAGGAAATGGTATTAAGGCTGCAGCATGTGGTTTCGATTGGATATTCGATCATGACTGTAGCCCTTTTGAGAGTGTATTTAATTAGTATATATGCAGCCTTGAGCTCATTCACACCAAAAATTATGAACATATTTTGAGCTCTGAAAAAAAACCCCCCCAAAAAAGCGATCATGAATCATAAGACACAACAATGCACAGTATAGATGTAGCGCACATCAGATGTTTGAGACCTGTCCTTTCACCGCCTGCAACTCTCAAAAGAAATTGCCACGTATTGAGTACTATTTAAGGCAGGCGGTGAGTGGACCCTGCTTGAGGACACGGTCATCACCAGATCAGGAAGTGCGATATTGATTCCCCCCCTACATCGCTCCTTTGTTTCTTGTAAGCCAGGCTTTTGGGCTCTAAATAGGCTCTTGTTTTATTCCAACAATCCCAACGCGTTCTCTTGACCGTCCAAAGTGGCTTCTGTCAACAGCCCTGTGCAACACGATCTTTAAATTCCGCGGCCAGCGGCCACCGCTGTCTGTACCCTGAACCCGCCGCAGGATGTCGTCAGACTACACCTATGATGAGCAGGTAAGGATGGGACTTGATGCAATAAAGACACATCAACGCTAACGTTGGCTTCTAGGGTCAATTCTTCCCCTTCTTCATCCTCACTTTGACCGGCCTGGTCACTCTTCCTCTCACCTATAACCTCCTACGACCTAGCAAAGGTGAGTTTTGGCCAGACTATACCAGCTGTATCTTATAGGCCCTAACTGTTTTATGTGATCTACAGAGCTTGAAAATACCGCCCCCCGCATCAAATCCGATTTCAAACCTAAACATGCGGACCTCATCGACGCGCAGAAGCGCAAGCGCCTGCGCAAAGAGCGCCGAATCAAGCGCATCATCACGGTCATCCTCGGATATGCCGTAATGGCATGGATGGTTTATTTGATTGTCGTCACCGCCAGGACAGTGGTGAAGGCGTACGACCCTTATGATATTTTGGGTGTCTCGAGGGTAAGTTATCCAGCTCGGCACGTCCTCGCCTAGTACACCCAGATGATTTTGATTAATTAAATTCCTCGGAAAACAGAGCGCAGACGAGAAGGCTATCTCTAGACATTACAAGCGCATGTCTTTGATCTACCACCCCGATAAGATTCGCCCCGACCCCGCCAAGAACGAGACTGTCGAGATGCTCAACGAGCGCTTCGTGGAGCTGACCAAGGCTTATAAAGCCCTCACTGACGAGGAGGTGCGAAACAACTATCTCCAGTTTGGCCACCCCCGACGGCAAGCAGAGCTTTAGCATCGGCATTGCCCTTCCCAAGTTCATTGTTATGGATGGCAATGGGAAATACGTTTTGATGGTCTATGGTGCCCTTTTGGGCGTCCTTCTACCTTATATCGTCGGTAAGTGGTGGTATGGATCTCAGCGCTACACAAAGGAGCGGGTTCTTGTTGCCAGCGCTGGAAATATTTTCCGTGAGTACAAAGACGATATTACCGAAGGTGGAATTATCAGCGCGTTGTCCTCCGGCGAAGAATTCAATGATATGCTCAAGGGTGCTCGGGCCGAGACTGGTCTGGCCAAGCTCGAGAAGCGGGTACTGGCAGATGATAACTCGTTCCTTACGGCCAATGACCGCGAGGCGCTGAAGCAGTTGGATAGCTCCTCTCGTCGGAAGGCTTTGGCTTTGTTATGGGCTTATCTTGGCCGAATTGATCTTGGTGATGCCTCTTTGGATGCTGGTAAGACAAATCCCCCAACGATGTTCTGAAACGTACCACTAACCGAGCCTCTGCAGAAAAATATGAAGCGGCTCCTGTCGCCCTTGCTCTCACTGAAGCCTTCACTGCTATTTCACTCGCATTTGGTAACCTTGGACCGATCGTCGGTGGTTTCAAAACGTCTCAGAACCTCATTCAGGCTGTGTCCCCGGGCTCATCACCACTGCTGCAACTTCCCAACTTCACCGATGCTATTGTTAAGTCCATACAGGGCGAAGATTCTAAGGAGCACCTCACCGTTCAGAGGTATATGGAACTGCCAGAGGCTCGACGACGCAGCCTTACTGTCGGTGCTGGTCTTCTCTCTGACAAGCAATACACCGACGCCGTCTCAGTTGCCAAGCAACTCCCCATGCTTCAACCCGAGCGGATCTTCTTCAAGGTCATGGGAGAAAAGGTGATCACGCCCAGCAGTCTGGTACAGCTGGTAGTCAAAGCCCGCTTCATCCCGCCAGGCAGCACATCCGTGCCGCCAGTGAGCCCGCTCGACCTGGAAGATATCGACCCCGACGAGGATGACCTGGAAGCCCTGATGGGTCGTAAGCCAGCCAAGAACCGCGCCGCGAAGATGGAAGACGGCAAGAAGGTTGAGGCGAAGATTGAAACCATCCAGCCACCTCTGGCTCACGCACCGTACTTAGCACGCGATCACTCCCCGCGCTGGAACATCTTCCTCGCAGACGGCAAGCAGGGCAAGATGGCCGTGCCGCCATTTACCTTTACGACATTCGACAAGCCGATCTTCGACGAGGCCGGCAAGCCCACCTTCAACGTCCAGACTCTCAAGATGCAGTTCCAGGCTCCCCCGCAGGCCGGCGACTTCACCTTCATCCTCCACATGATTTGTGACAGCTACCTGGGACTTGACAACGCGGCTCAAATTACCCTACACATTGACGACCCTGCCAAGGCAGCCGCCGTGGAAGAGGAAGACGACATCAGCGAGCCTGACGAGGGTAAGTCTTTCTCAGCTCCTACCCACTAACCTACTTGTTTCATTTACTAATCCACTTTCTTAGACTCAATCGCCGGCCAAATGCAGGCGATCAAGACAGGTCAAGCACCTAAGAAGAAGTCTAAGGACTCCGACGATTCCAGCGAGAGTGATACCGACGGCGATGCAGGCGATACCAGCGACACTGACACAGAGACGGAAGATGAGGATTGATTCCCCTCCCATGTATTGATTGGTCGATTGTACTCACGGCTTGTGTGATATGTATGTGTGACACTAGCCTTTGATCTAAACCCTGGACCTTGGCCTCGCCCTTGTCATGGGCTTAGGCCTACTGTTGTCACTAAGGCGTTTTGGGAAATCTGCTTTTTTTTTTTTGTCAAATTCTCCTATTCATCGGTAGCCACGGAGTGACTTGTGTATGGCGATGTGATTCAACTTCGCTGTCTACCAACTCGTTACTCTTCCGGGCAATGAGCTAGTGTAAGTCTAGGTCCTCCCGATTATCGCGGTACAGTGATTAATCAACTGGATTACTTCCAGTCTGGTTTAAAATAGATTCTGGATTCAATCAATGTATTACTCTTCTTTAGCCAATCCTCTCACCCTAGTTACCTGTACCTGTAAGAATAGTCGGCCCTGGAGTGTCCCAATTCAAATTCCTATCCTTTTAGACTACGCATCCCCGTGTATTAATATCTGCTTGCGTGTTTGTTACAAGACTAACCTCATGCTTGTTTTCATTCTTAGTAAAAAAGACCCCGCAACATTGCTTGGTAGATAATCTAAGTACATTTTTGTTGGGCGAGAAAGCAATCCCTAAGGGGAACGTAGTCACTAAGCCCAAATATCCCACAATCCATTCCAAATACCACCCCCTCCAAACATCCCCAATCCCCATAAAACAATGATCCAATTTTAACCAGTAAGTGTGTTCCGATGATGCGTGCGCGTTAAGACAGTGTGGTGATTTGTTCCCTGGCCCCGTTTGATATGGGGCCAGGGAAAGCATTCGTTATTGTTGTTCCGGGATCTCTTCCAACGGAGTTAACTGCGGATGCTTATGGGCTCTGCGACGGAAGAAGACGCGCTTAGCCCATTTCCATGCTTCGACGCCGATGAAGAACAAGACCGCCTCGACTGCCACGATACCCCATTCCCAGGTGATGGGCTTGTGTTTGAAGACAACGTCGTTCAAGACGGGGATGTACAGGATAGGGAACATGGTGATCCATCCGGCCATGATGGACCAGAAAAGGAACTTGTTGCGCCAGACGTCGTACATCCACTGGGTGAAGTATTTCTTGGATTTCGGTTGCATGCGGAAGAACGACCGGCGCAGGTTGACCATTTCCCAAGCGAGGAAAAGCGCAAACCAGGTCAGGCATACGAATGTTGTGGCGCGGGCGCGGAAGACTAGGTCGCAGTCTTTGATCTCTTCGGACCACTCCTTGTTGCAACCACGTGCCAGGTTACCGTCGCCGAATCCCCACATGCGGATGGAAAATGCCGATAGACAGAGCGCTGCGGTCCAGATACCATACACCATGATGTCGACAATCACCTCCCAGGTGAAAATACCTTGCTTGCTCTGAGGAGGACGGTTCATGATATCAGGGGCAGCCACCTCCATTCCAAGGCCCATATCAGGCATACCCGATGTAATCATAATGATCCAGAGAATTTCGACCGGTGACAGAGGGAAGACGGATTGATTATCAGCGTCTTTGAAAGCTAATCCGATGAGCAAGGTGCAGGCCTGAGCGATGTTCTCTGACAATAGATGAAGCACGAATTTTTGAATATTATCGAAGATACGACGACCTTCTTCGACGGCATTGAGAATCGATGCGAAGTTGTCATCCGTGAGAATGATATCAGATGCATCTTTAGCAACATCCGAACCTGCCTGTCCCATAGCAATACCAACATCGGCATGCTTAAGCGATGGAGAATCATTCACTCCGTCTCCGGTCATAGCTGCAAAGCGGCCACGGCGATGAAGGGCGTCAATCATACGCACCTTGGTCTGCGGGGCACAGCGTGCAATGACCAAAGGCAGCGTCGGAAGCGAATCCACCTCTTCATCAGTGAGCTTATCGAACTGACTAGCAGTCATAACCATGGCGTCCTCGACATCAGCTGCCACTGCGTCGAAAGTGGCAGGAAGGATTCCGACTTGCTGAGCAATCGCTTTGGCAGTACCGGGGTGGTCGCCAGTCACCATGTGGACAACGATACCGGCGCGGTAACAGGCCTGGATTGAGCCAGCCGTTTCGGGGCGCGGAGGATCATACAAGCCAATCAGACCTAGGAAGCAGAGATCATTCTCTACATCTTCACGGTTCAGGTCGGCATCTTCAAGCAGTTGTGTCTGGGCAGTGTATGGTCGATGAGCTAGAGCTAAGACCCGAAGTCCTAGCTTGGCGAGTTCCTCCATGTTCTGCATGATCTTTTCGCGGTGGTCGTTGGTGATTGGCACGGGGGTACCTGAATCTTGGTCCCAGATGACAGAGGTGCATGACTCTACGATGCGCTCGACGGCACCCTTGGTGAACACCATTGTCCGGGTCTCTTCTGGGGTGATTTTGCTGAAAATAACAGACATTTTCTTAACGGTTGAGTCGAATGGGAATTCAGCCTGTTGGTGCCACACTGAACCCTCACCCTTCTTGATCCAGCGGTCTCTGTTCCAGTTGAACCTCGACGCAAAGACATGAATGGCAATTTCGGTGGGTTCACCTCTCGCGTTCCATTCGCCCTCTTCGGACTTGTACACGTGAGAGAGATTAGCCATCGAGGCGACGTCCAAGAAGTCTTCAAGCTGGCGGTTTCCCGAGACCAGGCCTTCTGCCTTCTCCGCAGCGGCACCTTCCTTCTCAGTATCCAATTGCGAAGGAGGCATAGCGGTGAAGGAGACATCTCCAACGGTAGGATTGAAAGGCTCGTTGGATGGGCCGACGGAATATATTCCTCGAGATGGAATCCATGCCTTTTGAACAACCATTTTTCCCTGAGTCAATGTACCGGTCTTATCGGAACAGATATCTGTGACGGCACCGAGCGCCTCCAGCGAATCCAATTTGCGAACAATTACGTTCCGCTCGACCATGCGTTTGGTACCAACGGCCATAGTGATCGTAAGCACGACCACCAGGCACGCTGGGATCATACTGATACCGGTTGCAACAGCATACATGATGACTTCAGTATTGCTGCTGAATTCGTTTGCAGCCATACAAACGATGGCGAACACAACAGCAATTCCAAACAGTAAACAGGCCAGTTTTGACAGCTTCCTCTGTAAGGGCGTTCCGATATTGACACCGAGGAATCGACCCACGGCATCTGCCCAGGTGAGACTCCAGGCCTGGACGTACCAACGTTTCTTGGTCTCACCATTGGGACCACGCTTGACCTGACGACGCTTATTGCCGCTGGCCCGCAATGCGAGAGCAATAGATCCGATTTCAGTGAACATGCCTGTACTGACAACCACACCACGTCCACGACCACGAGTGACGGTACTGGAACTATAGGCAATATTCAGGCGATCGCCAGGGCCAGTATCCTCCTTGAACGTTAAGTCACATTCCTTTTGGACGGGAAGGGACTCGCCAGTCAGGAGAGCTTCGTCGGTCTCGAAGTTGACTGCTTCGACCAGGCTGATAATGTGTCAGTAAATTGGCCAACACCTAGACAACTTCCCCCAGTAACTTTGAAATCACAGGTGTGCCGTGATAGAAAACTCACCGAATATCCGCTGGAACGGTATCACCCGTCCTAAGCTCAACCATGTCACCAGGCACGATCTCCGACGACGGCACTGAGAATGTCTGTCCACCTCTCGAGACAGTTCCGGTCGGGGACGATAACGAATGCAACGACTCCATTGTTTTTTCGGCGGCGTACTCCTGGAAGAATCCAACAATGATATTCAAGACAATCACAGCGCAGATTACTCCGCCCTCAATCCACGATTGAATACCGAAGCTGACGGCCATAGCCAGGATCAGCACCTGCATTTAACAGACTTATTAGATTTAACTTTTAACCAGTTTCGCGATAATATCAGCAAAAGGGACAGTGTGCTCTTACTAGCATCATTGCGTTGGCTACCTGGCGCACGAGAATCTTGACCAACGATACGCCTTCTCCCTCATCCAGTTTGTTGGGACCATATTGCTGGAGACGATGACTGGCTTCTTCGGGGGCCAGACCCTCATCCAGCCCAGTGCTAAGTTCCTTGAGAACAACTTCATAAGGTAGCGTGTGAGCTGGCTGGCTTAGTGGACTGCCACCCGAACCGGAGTCGGGTGGGTGGTTGTCCTTCTCGTCTGGCATTGGAGATTGTTCCCGAGTGAGTAGATATCCTGCGGAATTGACTCCCGAGCTGTTTTGTCCGTCTGCCTCTCTCTTTTTGGGGGCAATCAGTATCTGGATAATTGAATCCAAACAAAACTCTCTGTTGTATGTTGTAAGAAGGAAAGTCCGATTTTTTAAGCTTCAAGTGAGAGCTCAGAATCTGCTCGTGTGAACAACACGGTGTGGAGATGCCCCAAAGTCTTGGCCCATAACTTCCAAGATTTTGATTCCCCGGGCGGTCACGCACGTTGGTCGATTCATTGGAAACGAGGGGGTTGATAGACATGGCGCCAAGATTCTAGGCCAGTTACATCATTGGGTGACTTACATTGTGTTTGATCGCCATTGGACTCTGGTTGGGGCTTATCCAATGATGGGGGAATATTGGGACGATGAATTACTCCACATGGTAGCTGCAAGCGTAGAATTGCCAAGATTGCCAAGATGCAGGGTAGCTTTAGTTCACCTTCCATTCTTACTCCATGCGTGTCCGGGGGGTTTATCCCTTCGGGGAGTTTATCCCTTTCCACGAGGAAAATATGTCAGAAAAAGTCAGGGGTGCTTCCTTCCTTCTAGTTGTTTTCGGCAAAACAAAAGATTTCAGTCGGCACCGAAACGTCCCACGGAAATCGCAAATCTCCGCTGGCAGGAACGACCCTTGGCGCCAAGGGTTGGCGCCAAATTCTTGGCAGTTGGCAGGCGGAAAAAGCCGGGGGTTGTTGTAGGGCTGTTCAAACAGTTCGTATCCTTAAGCGAGGACTCTAATAGATAATCCGGTGTCTTTGTTTCAGATCAATTGGATATATTTTGGACACACTTAGAGTAGTTAACTAGTGTATAGACCACACATTAACTACCACGTATAGGAATCACTGGGCAAATAAATCAATGATGGGTAGCTAATACGAAGGCAGTAAAATACGAAGGCAGGAATTGACATTCGATGGGCACATCAAACTCTATATCCGAGGAGATCCACAGGTGGCATCGTGAAGCCATGGATTGGTCTCCGAGTATTAGGCCCCCCTGTACGGGGTACTCCGTATAGGTTGAATGTTCCCTTTCGAGTGGACCATTACGACCAATTTATATGGAGTTATCCTGATCTAATAATCGATGTGGTCGTGATTGTGGTTGCTGCGAGAAACGTGAGTCAACATTAACACCAGATGATTTAGGCCACGACTATCTCGGTTATATATATATATATATATATATCAACATGCGAGGGGTTCAGATGGCCGCGACCACGGATAAAACCACATGGCAGTTCATTTAACGTTTCTGCCTGCTCTCTCGAGGTTTTCTTACCATAAATCTATCTGCCAGAGATAAATTCCTAGACACACAAGACCCTAGGGGTCCACGAACACAGCTAAGCTACACAATATTCTCTGGGTGTGAGCTATGTATTCTTGAATTCCTTGTAGACAAGATAATAATAGACAGTTAAGGAGAATTACAAAATCATAACCTTGGAAAAACACAAAAATTCCACCAGAAATGACAGGGAGATATCATATGATACAAGTATTCAACATGGTACGTACATGTATTTTATATGCAAATGTCCTGTGTCCCTGTCCTATATCACACCACATCTTCAATTCCCAGATGTATACATCAAGTAGTACATCTATGGAGATCTTAGTACCTTCACCGAAGTAGCTACACACCAGGGTACACAAACAACCCTAGCAAAAGCACAGAAGCGCATGTTCTCAAGTCCCACAGACAACCTTCCCCCACGCACCCCTAATCATCAGTCTCTAACCCGAACAGGAAATATGACACACGTATGTACTTGCTGTGATCTACGATCTAACTACGATCTACGATCTGAGATCTGATTTGATCTGCGCGCTCCTAGCCCCTTTTAGACCTCTGCTACGGCAGCTGTCTTTCTTCTCTGGGTTGATGCTGGAGGCATCTGTGTCAGGTCGTGCATGTATTGTACTACTGTATAACTCGGTGCGAGATCTAGATCTGGTGTGAAGCAGTTTTCGGGGTTTCGTGTGTCATCTTTGCTTGTGGTTGGTTGGTCAACTGGGATGGGATGTATCGGGTACATGATATTTTACATTTCATTGGGCCTTGTTCTAGCTATTATCTTTGAGGTTGTTGGAATATGGCCATGACTGGGAAGTATGACTGACCTTTCAAGCTAGGAAATATCCACCGTGAGCTCTCTGTTGGCGGTAATATAATAAATACCATGCTAAATATATATATCTCATTGAAAGTAACCACACCGGCGCCTCTATACAAAAACAGGGATTACCCAAAACCTAAAGCAAAAAAAGATCAAGGGATAAGAAATAGTACCTAAATTGATAGGGCGATACTCTTTCAAACTAGATACCAGAATCGAAAGGAAATCCAAATCCAAGATCAATAATGACGATCCAAAGAAAGACTTGGGTGAGCCCGAGAAGTAAAAGTAAAAACCAAAAAAACCAAAAAATAAAGCGACTGGTCAAGAAAGATTAGGGCTCAATGTGCCAGACATCTTCCAATCTTATAATCCTGCGTGGATGTCATGCTCCATGCTCCGGCGAAGGAGTCCAAACTCAGATGCGGGGGGGTATAGAAAGAGGAAAAGAAAAAGAAAACGAAAACAAGAGCTGGAGAAGAACGCAAGTCATAATGACTCTGATGAGGAAAGAGAAAGCGAAATGGTAAGAAGAAATATAGATAAGAAGTGAAGTAAAAGAAGCTGCTCAGCAGCTTATGCCAAACGCCCAACCTGAAATAAAGGTCATATATCTCCAGAAGGCAAGAGACACCGTCCATCACATCATACCAAACCAAACTTATACCGAAGGAAAATTCCAGCCCGGTGTAAACCCAGGATAAAAGGCTGGGTCATGTGCCTGGAAATGGAAATCACCCATCATCTCCGCAGACAGATTCTCAGCAAGATGATGAGAGTGCGTGTGAGACTCAGCCATGAGACCGGGTGGTAAACTTGCCAGCACGGGCTTAACACCCTGCTGGGTCGTGCCGGAATCACAGCATCCACCTAGAACGTACGGGAACGGCGGCTCATGGTGCGCATGATGAGGATGATGCGGTAGCCCCGAAGATGTAGAGGGGAGGTCAACATGGGGCGCGATATCAGTGTTCATGTCCGGCGCACTCATGGAAGACCGTTGTTGCAGTGCCATTAGGTCATGGTACCCTGAGTCTGGGTAGCTGTAGCTCGTCTGGTGGACGGGCTGGAGATCCCATTGCCAGCCTGTGGTGGCGGTGCGACTGGGCACAGATATAGGTGTCGGGATTGGGCATGGTGGGCGAGAAATGGTTGGCGAGGGCTCTGGCGGCGTTGTTGGCTCTGGTGAGGGCTCTGCTGTGACGCTGCATTCGGTAGATGTTGACAGCAGTCGTAGGTAGCGCAAATCTTCTGAGTCTTCGTCTGGCTCGTCGGCGTTTTCTTCGGCTTGTTTGATTAGCCCTAGCCGGTCGAGGATTGCGTGTGTTAGGGGTGCCCATCTGGGGCTTCGGCGAGGGGGTCGCCTGGGAAGCCTTCATTGTTGATGCAGAATTTATAGAGTTTCTGGAGGGCTTTTACAACCAGGGAATGGTGGGATTCGAGCATCTCGACAAATCTGTGTGTGGTTTGTCTATGAGCTTTTGATGATATGCGTTGGCTGGAGATTCTGTATGTACTCACCCTCGAGAGTATACTTTGGTCTGTGTGGCCTTTCTTTCACGGAATAGACAAGGGTGGTTGTATACCGAGCAACGGTTGCAAGGTTGTTTCCCATCGCACTAAAATGGGTCAGTCAAATCCCAATCTCCATGCTGTATCGGCCGACATACCTTGGTCTTCTTCACGCGACAGCGATCACAGGCTTTCAAAACATGCTTACGCTTGACCCGGAAGACGCGCTGGTCGCGCTTGTCCTCGCCAGTCCGGGCCCGATGCTCTAGTTCTGACAACGAAGCCACAGCCGCGAAGTCGTCAATGATATGCGGGAAGCCCTTGGGGCGAAGCTTTGGCTGCCACGACATGGTGGATGGTATCATATTGAAAATTCCACCAGAAACCAAGCAAGGGAGGTAGATATCACAATGTAAGAGTAGGAATGATGGAGAAAAAAAGGGAAGAGAGATAGCAAGATTTCAAGACGGGGGGAGGGGCGAGGAGAGAGAGAGAGAAAGATTTGGCCAGCAAAGTAAAAAAGAAAAAAAAAAAGAAGAAAAAGAAAAGAATCGAGCAGGTGGGGTGGATGATAATGAAACGGACTTTCAGCCGCCAGGGCCAAACGTTGATATCATGATTATTAAAGGCGCAGAGAAGTTGTCCCCCGCATCAGCAGAGAAGCCCTTGGTTATAGTGACGTAGAGAGACAGAGAGACAGAGAGACAGTTAGACTGTTCAAAGCATTCGAGGGTGACGAGGGCGAGGGTGACGGGGTGACATGTGGTTGATCCCAGCGAGGAATATAGGCCCAGTAGGCCAAGTAGACACTTAGGCGACTGTTTAGGTACCTAGAGATTCAGTACAATGACACGGTCCGAGCCGTGAGTCCGTGAATTCGGCAGATCAGCCTAGTAATTGGGCAGAAAAAAGACAGATCGAATCAAGTCCGGAGGTAACGCTCTTTGTCACACGATTTTTCCCCTCGAATGCTGACACTGCACGTCAGAGAGAACCCAACACACACGTGCCTGGGGATTGTGAAAGGCCATCTCCAAGATTTGTGATGAGATGATATCCAATCATTTTCCTGGTTAATCTGCATCTATGAAGAGGTCAATGCGAGATAAAAATAAAAAAATAAAAAGTCCAAAAATTAGTCGGTGAAAAAAAAAGAAAAAGAACATAGCCATCCTTGTTAGCTGCACGGAAACGTGGTACAACGTGATATGCCAGAATATGCCAGAATATGTAGACAATTCAACTGTCAGGTGGTTCTCTCCCTCAGCCTCTGATGAAAAGAGAAAGAGTTGAAAGAGTTTAAAGAAGTTGAAAAGAGGTTGAGAGTAGACATCTGGAGACAATAGGATGGTTGATGGTTGTACCTTCTGATACAAAAGCGGGGTTAATGATATTACCTTGTCCTATTAGGGCTTCTTCTTCTTCTTCTCCCCTTTCTTTCTACCTGAATGACTCTGATTATTATTATTATTTTTCTTTCTCTTTCCTAGGATATTACCCTGGTACTGCCTGCATTCTCGCACAGAATCAGACCCAGTGTGCAATGATCAAATCCCAAAGAAGAAGCAGCCCTAATGTGAACAGTTGTCTAGGCTAGATCTTTGCATTGATCAACTTCCCTTTTGTACTGTGTGTGGCAGTGTATACCAAAGTATACCTACTAGGCAGGACAGTGCTCAGCTCAAGCTGCAATACCATACAATGTGTTACTGATCTACAGAGTACATTTGACTGTACTTCTTTCTTCCTTTCTCCCATCTCTCATGATATCGTCCGAACAGGACATCAATCCTGAATCCCGGGTTTGCCACCGAGTTGTCTAGACCGGAATGCAGTAAAATCCATGGACTTGTATGGGAACTTCCACAATGCGTCAAGATTGGCTTGTCAAGCACACCGTACATGGACCATTTCTAAGTCTCTCAGCTGCTACAAGGCAGGGAACAGGGAACAAGGATCAAGGACAGAGAGACACTCACACAGTGTGATTCTTTCTCCCCGATTCCACAGAAACATATCTTAAGATATGAACAATTCCATGTAAAAATTAGCCACGGTGTGTACAAGAATGGAATGGACTATGGACTATTGATTGCTGCATGCACCTATATATATAACATACGGAGTACACAGGATAACGTCGGGGGCTTTCCTCTCTGGGCTGCCGCCGCTTTAATGAGGGTCAGGCTCAAGCTCACCGAGTAAATGTCAGCACGGGCTCATGCTCAGTGATAGTCAGCGAGCTGTACTCCGTAACTAGTTATTTACAATAGTCTATGTTGTACCTTATAAAGATTCATCTACTCGATTTTACTAGTGCACAATTAGCGTAGTATTTTATATAGTATTTCTACAAATGAATACTATATTGATTTTTAAAAAACAGGGCTCTTTACACTCCTAACTCTCAACTCTTAACATTAACTCTCAATTTCTTACTATCTTACTATCTTAGTATGTAGTAGGTCCCCTATTAGCAGCAATCACTGCCTAGTACCCTAGTAGCATACTATCAGATTCAATTTAACTTCAATTTATTTACTCGAGAAGTCCCTATGAATCTAAGTTGAATCCAAATTGAATCTGAAGTGAATCTGAAGTGAAGTGAATTATATTATATTATAGAGAGGGTAGTTGAAGAAAGAAAAATTCAAAATCATAGCTATATATGTTCAGTACAATAGGCAGATCTCTTGGCCGCTAGTTTAGGGGTGTTATTCATCATCTCCATGCAAGGCTTCAACTAATCATACTCATCTATAATAAATCCCCTTCTCAACTGTCACAGCTGATTCAGCCGCCTTGCTTTTACTGGAGCTGCCATACCCTCCAGACCGGCCCCAAGTGCACTCCAACCTGGGCAATGGTAGAATATCATTATCCCCAAAGACGGTAGGCCCTTCTGTGCCTTCTAGTCTTTCCGATACTCCTAATCAAGCTAGAAGCTGGATCGAAAGCTGAATACTTACACACCACTTGAACCCACGGACAAACCAAGGACTTCCTCCGTGACTTCTTCAAGACTCTTCCTCCTGACGGAAAAACAAATCTGGCAGGGGACGTTTCAGGGTGTGCAAACGATGAGAAGCTTCGGCAACTAGTCCAAAGCATCAGAACTGGTTTATTGATTCCTATGAAAGCACAGGGTGGTAAAACACCCACTGAAATCACTCCGTCTCCGCGTTCTGGTGTTGAAGATTCAATCGAGAATCTCAAGAGCCTAAACATCGAGTCTATCAGTAGAAGCTCTCAGTCGCAACTCCGGCACCACTGTTTACAAAGAGATGGCTATAAATGTGTTGCAACGGGGAGGTACAGTGGCAATCACGCCCATCCACAGAATGCACCCACAACTTATCTTGAGGCGGCCCATATTGTTCCATTTGCACTTGGATCCTTTCAGGCCAGTGACGGCGAGGTACATGCAAAGGTTTGGGTCAACCTAAGACGCTATTTTCCAGTTCTTCGCAATATGTGCTTTACCTCGGTGGTGGGCTTGCCCCGAGTGGAAGCACCAACATCGAAGATCTTCTTGCAGTGAGCAGCCTCTCACTGCTACCCTCAAATGTCGACGAAACACCCGATTCCTAAAAGTATACAGAGAAGCAACGTCTTACGGAGAAGTAAGGACGCCTACGGGCGAAATTATCTGACACTGAGAATCAGCCATCATACTAAGTTGCATAATCGGGAAAACCGTTGTCACGGTTGCAGTTGCAGATTAGGCCAGGTGATGGACCACTGTCTTTAGCTAACTTTTAGTTCTAAACCCATCAACAGAAAGACCAAGTGTTATTTATCACTTACTGGGTGACGGACTCACTCAGGTTACTCCTTCTACAACAGTCTACCCTATAATCTAGGTAATTCAGATATCTTTTAAGAATTGCAATATGACAATATATTCTTTGTGGTCACACTAGTCAACCAAATAATAAATAAGGATACCACCACTTTGATATAGAATAGCAAAAGCCTGAATACGTGTTCAATGTAGACAGCTGCCTATTGTGGTAATGTCATTCATATTATCAGCACCTTCCCTCTTTTCCTTTCTCACCTCCTCATGACCCTCCCTCATCTCACAGCCTTTTATGGCCGTTGCTCCGCTGGTTAACAACTATCTAAGCATTCTCGCCTTTCTTGTCATTCTTACCACGTCACCAATCATACCCTTGATCTCTCTTCCTCTTCCTCTTTCCGCTCCCCCCACCAGCCTCTTGTGGCCGTTATTCCACTGGTTAATAACGGAATTTCCCAAGGGCGCCTGAGGCTTATTAGCCGGAATCATTCTTACCTTTCATTCTCACCATTCTTATCATTCTTATTTCACATGGTAGGTAATAGACGCTTTCCAAGGTTACTAATAAACACGAATAGACTTCCGAGGCTCCGAGGCTTGCCGCCTTCCAGATCGGACGCCGGAAGAAACATAACGTTATTTGAACGTGACTACTGCTTTTCATCATCTCCTCATTCATCATCTCCACACAAGGCTTCAACAAATCGTACTCATCTCAAACAATCATCGATTTCCATCCCACGTGGAAGGAAAGCCCCAGTCGTAACACCTCTTCCCTGGTCTCTGGTGGACCATCAGGGATTCTGACACTGCTGTTGATCCTGGAAGGATGGGACGGTTGGGGCACTGATTTTTCATACACCGTTGTACCGCCAGATCTCCGTGGACCAGAGCGACATTTACCGATATTTTCCAGCATGGAGCCTGCGAGTGCTTTGCTAGCACGACCCTTACCCACCCTAACTCAAAAAAATGGCACCCACTGTGTATCGGACTCTAGGACTGTCATATCCATGACGCTATTCCATGAATGGACCTCCTTTAAGCGCGAGGTCAACAATGCAATTCAGCGCGTTGATCTCACTCATCCTGTTCCGTGTACGAATGATAATCTCGACCAGTACGTTGTCGGAAGTAAACTTGGGCTTACGGGGCGGTTTTCAAAGCATGTCTGCGATGCCGTCTCCCTAGCGTGTAGCTCCGCCGGCCTACCTTTACAATTCGGTGATCGGCAAGCCGGGCTACCTTCAACCGAAGTGACGCCTGATATGGTTCTACTTACAGCGGATGAAGTCCGGAAGACGATTATACCAATCGAACTTAAGACATTCTGGACCGTACGACTTGATATTGCCCAAATCGGCACTCACTGGTCAAATCTCCTCTCGCTACAATCTTACCTTGGTAAGAAACCAGTCTTGATATCCGTTAAATACAAACGGCTTATTTCTATCTAGGCCAACTTGTGGAGCAAATGAGAGATAACCATACCGTTTATGGCATTTTGTCTACCTATCGGTACACCGTCTTTGTGAAACGGGTGGAAGATTACCGCTTCGAAATGAGTAAACCAATATCGTCGACTGCAACTCAGCCATCTCTTCGACAATGTATCATGGCCACTGCTGTCATCGCCGCTGAAGACGGTGTTTACTATGAACCGGACGATTTTGATGCACGAAAGGTATGCCAGGAAGTGTTTTTGCCCGCTTGTTCGTTCTAATAAATCCTTGATACCAGCTGCAAACTAGCAGCGGTCACCAAGCTTCGACCCGCGCTTCCCATTACCGCCTCCAGTCTAGCTCGAATATCGTTGCCATAGACAGTCCTCGCATGCCCGTCACATCCGAGACGATTTTCTATGGCGACAGTGGCCCGGTCGCAATGGACTCAGTCGAGGTGACTAACACCATCCGAAGCACCAAGACTAAAAAAGTCTTCGAGGTCTGTTGGCATGGGCGTCTAGCAATCGCCAAATGGTGGGCAACCTCCCAAGTTCAAAAGTATGAATCAACTCCCCGGAAATTTGATAATAAGAGCTAATGTGATGATGAACTTATAGGTTCATCAATGAAAAGGTCACATACGAGATGATATACGAAACATGCACCGGCGGTTATCCCTTCTTTGCTTCCCCTCTCGCAGCAGGCGAGGTCCGGTGTTCATCGAAGTGCCCGGATGGCTACATACTAGTCATCACCAAAGTGAAGGGCGCTTCATTGGAAAGGAGATGGGCGAAGATATCTGCGAACAACAGAGAGTTCGTATACAACCAGGTTCGGGCTGCGATAGATGTTTTCAGAACCGTTGGAATGGCCTGGGCCGACCCCGGCATGCATAATATTCTCTTTGATGAAGATGCACATGGCCCTTCTGTCACAGTGGTAGACTTCGAGCACCTCCAGTTGCTTGAAGGTGAACGACTGACATCCCGACCAGAGATGACATTCATATTCGGCGGGCAACTCGTCAACCAGAGAGACCCCAGTCGATACTCTGGCGGCTGACAGAAGTGATGCCTATGCGTTTGGATTCCACTATCATTACTTTATTTGCTTTTCACTCTTTTCTTTGCGAATACAATGCACTCCCGCAGCATTCCTCCGAATTACAATTGCTTGCCGATCCGTTCAAGATCGCCTAGGGACACTTCTTTATTTCATGTTTTTTGCTTTCTTCTACATGTATCTAATACGGCGTTAGTCGGGGTCGACCAACAGGCAGGCTGTCGACAGATGTGACCCACATGATGAATGATGTCACCTGCCTCCGTAGTTTAGTTCGACGAACCTCCGCCATAATACATTTTTCTCTTTCCCTTCGCTCTCAGTGCTTACAGAGTATGAAGTATGCCCCTTTCTCACTGGCATTAATCGTGGCAAGCCCACCACCACCTACACTCAGTGAGCAGAAAGCGATATGAGGTGAGCACTAAAACGGAAAGGGAAAGCCAAGACTTGTCCGACATTATCCTGTCTATATTCAACAATACAAACCTTGCTATATGGAAGGGATTGGTATGAGCACCTGCATTGAACATGCAGTCCATCAGTTCACGTTCACCGACAGATTCCAATTTTGATGTGCAGACTACAGATGGTAGGTCTGGAAAGTAGAGAGGGGGAGAGTTGATTGCTATGGAAAGGAGAGAAACTGCTAGATAAACTACAATCCTGGGGGTTGATGTCTGAGGCACCAATGTGGGGCCTAAGGCCACCACAACACACCCCCCTAGGCACATGTGAACTCCGTCGATTGTATCTAGTGCATGCTGCACTGACAAACGATCTCTACTCATACACGAAAGAAGTCAGGGATTTGAAGGATCGTGGCAGCTCTCTCATAAATGGGATCAAATTACTGCAAGATACAATGGGCTTGAATGCTTCAGCTTCCAAGGTGATTCTTCGTCACATTCTATGGGATGTTGAAAGACAGCTACACGAGGAGCAGCAAAGGCTTCACCAGCAAGGAGCAACGGAAGCACAACTCCATGTTTCCCAAGCCATGGTTGAAAGTCTTGCAGGTAATGCCTTCTATTCTGCTACTACTTCTCGGTATGCCCAAGCAGTGCCAGGCTCGAGGCTTGCAAAATGAGGTGGAAGGACATTGTTTAATATGCCATGCTTCATATGATCTGTCAGAGCATGGAGCGGTATCTTACCACTAGCAAGCGATTGGTTACCCAGGGACCTTGTGTTTTGTATGGTAAATTGTTTCAACTGGCAATCTCGGTATAATAACCACCGAGTATGGTCACGTTCCGAGGGTATTTCAACCTGCTCTCGACCGCATATTTTCTAACAATCAATCATTCTTTTTATCCTGAATTGGTTCCGCTTGATCTCTTTCGTCCTGAATGTCTACTAGTCCATACAATTTTAGCTTGTTCTGACATCTCCTTTCACCTCCACCTTCATATTTCTTCCGTTGAACGGTATCAGCGCTGAATACCCACACTATTCTCGCTTCAGAGAGCACTATCCATATTATGGCTATCACTTACTTGAAGAAAGAGTTGCCTCGTCGGACTAATCAACGCTCCGATCCCAAGCAACATAATGATTGATAATCATCGGACAATTTTCATTGATTTTGGTTCTTGCCGGAGTGTATGAGAGAGCCTAGAAGATGCCGTACTTACGAATTGTACGATGAGAAGGTACCGCATTCTCTTTTCTAGAATGACCTAAATGCCTTGGGAGGAGGTTCGTATCTTAACGTTGTACGCTTAGAAAGAGTTGCACGTAATAGGATTAGCGTGTCGCAATTTATTGATGTAGCTTACTTAGGCCGCTCAGCCGTACACTCAGAGAGCACTCAGTGAGCAAATCAGGGTGCTCAGATGATGATCAGTGAGTGGATTAGGGGGCCCAGGGGATAATCAGGTGATGCTCAGTGAGCAGATCACGTTGATTATATAATGGCCCGTGATCAAGTCAGGATACTCAGGGACGTGCTCAGTTTTACTCAGTGATCAAAAAGCGGCAAGAGGTGAGCACTAAAGCGGAAAGGGAAAGGTCTCGAGTGTCAGGCATTATCCGGTACATATGCATATTTCCAAAAGCAAAAAAAAGGCAGAGATACAATACAAACCTTGCCATATGGAAGGGATTGGTATGAGCACCTGCATTGAACATGCAGTCCATCAGTTCACCGACAGATTCCAATTTTAAGTGTCTAGAGACCACGAGGCCATAAGATTTCTCTCTCTACCTTGGTCTTGGCAAAAGCAAAAGCAAAATGCAGAGTGAAAAAGCAAAATAAGGGTAAAAGCAGGGGAAAATGCAATATGCAATAACAGAGTGATCTTCTCTGTGTACGACATAGGAAGGAGATCTAAAGAAAAAAAAAGCCTGTGATTTTTTGGGAAGACAGTTGGCGCTGGGAATTTGAAGCCTGAACATCCTCGGATGTCAGATTTGTCAACCCAATGTAATCAACCATCAACCCTAAATTGCTCAGAACAAAATAAGGGGGAGAGAAGGCAAGAAGAAAAAATTAGGAAAAAAAAAACGAAAGTGATGCGGGAAATCACCACATTAGCCCTGAGAGCCAATACGCACCAACACAGCCCTGAAATGGACCAGTCAGAACAGTCACCGACAGATCAGCAGATGAAAAGGCAGCGGAAGAATCAGGACTCTGGCACCCGAAAACAAGATATTGTTTGCTTTTGACGGGAGCCTGATTTCTCTCCTCTCACACCCCCGGTTTATCGGGGAGCAAGATGCTCGCTTCACCCCTGGCAAGCAAATCAAAGCTCTCCTCGCTGGTCGCCGTTCCAGACGGACTAGGCGAGTGATCTGGCGGTAATGGGTACAGGCTCTTCTCCATATCCAACGCATCAAAGGAGTGTCGCTGTGCCTGAGCCTGAGCTTGAACCTGCCATCGGCGATCCCCTACCCATTCGACACCATCCCCAACGCCACTCATGTCCACCTTGCGACGTTCCTGCTCGCGCTCCAGGAGGGGCAGTCTTTCGCCCTCGGGTGCTTCGCTTCCCTGTCCGAGTTCCAGGGGCAGGTGGCGCCGATGCCATTCGCCCACGAACATCCCGTCCACGTCGACCTCTGAGCGCACTTTCATCCACGACTCCATGTCTGACCCGTACGCGACGCCTAGCTCCTGTGAGTTTAATGTGTGGAAATTCTTCGCCCAGTGCGGCTTCGCGCCCATCTCCCGCATCAGCCATTCGAAGGCCTCGTAGTAGCGTTCTTTGCACGGCGGGTCGCGAAGGTATGGACGATAAAGCGTTGCGTTGAGGTAGAGTGTCGGGCCGTCGCGACTCGTGGGGTCCAGGAATGGGCGGGGCTTTGTATTCAACGAGGTATCAGAGACTCGCACTTCGACCGGACAGTGCACGTACAGTCCCTTGGATGAGAAGGGGATGCGCGCGGTCTCCGTGTCGCCGTGCAGCCAGGCCGAAAGCCGACCGATGGCCTCCGGGCCCTTTTCCAGCGGAAGAGCCCATTCGTTAACGAACTGCGAAAACAGGCAGTTCATCAATAATCCCGAGCGCGCGGGCTCAACGGCCTCGGTGATGGTCGATCCAGCCCGGAAGCCATACTGCATACCAAAGACGAACCATTCAACCAATGGCAGGATACGCGGAATGTACGAGGACAGGGCGAGGAGATTATGGTAGATATGGTAGCCTAGTGCGTCGCCGTAGAAGCTTTTCGGGGGAGCGCGCAGCGGGAGGTCGGTTTTATCCGCACGCCAGACAATAGCGCCTTTCTCATAAGGTAGCCACCAAACGCGCACGAACTCATGCGATGTCCACAGACCCGTCGTCCATTCATCCAGCACGCGAGGTAGCGAATACCGCTCCTGGCGCCAGGCGATATTGAACGTGGGTGTGGCCTTAAAGGTGACCTCGACGACGATTCCGAGCGCTCCGAGCGACACCAGCCCTGCGCGGAACAGGTCCGGGTTATTTGTCGGGCTGCAGCGGACCAGCTGGCCATTGGCGAGTACCAGGCCGAGTGAGTCAATGCACTCCGATACCAGGCCGTGGCGTAGGGAGCTGCCGTGGGTGCCGGTGGCGATGACGCCTGCTATGGACTGGCTGTCAATGCTGCCCAGGTTGTCAAGTGTCAGGCCATGTTCCTCCAGTTGTTCGCCCAGATGGCTCAATCGAATGCCTGCTTCGACGGTTACGGAGCCGGTTGATGGGTCAACGTGGAGGATGCGATTGAAGTCGTCGAGGTTTACGAGCCAGGACGAGGTGCAGGTCAAATCGGAGGGCGAGTGACCGCTGCCAACTGTTACGATGCGGCGACGACAGCGACGGGCGAGAGTCACTAGCTGTTGAATCTCTGGGATGGTTTGTGGGCGTATGTACAACTCCGGGCGTGAGAAGAATGTCTTGGCCCACGTGTGATGCAGGTGATCGGTCGATGAGCGGAACGGTACCGCGGGGTCGAGCTTGGAGAGCTCGCGAAGGATGGAGGGGTCCATGACTGAAATATTCACATTGCCATCGGGGGGAGAATAGTATGTAGTATGTAGTATGTAGTATTTAGAATGTAAGAAAGAAGAAATTTACAATCAAAGGATCGAGGATGGCGACATTCCAGATCGGATGATTTTTTTTTTAAATTTCTCATCTCCGTCCGTTCCCGTCCATAAGCCCTTCTACGTAGGACTATACCCTAAATGCTCTAAATGCTCTAGATGCCCGAGGAATCTGATGTTTTATTGTTTTAGTTTATATATTAATTTATATATTAATTCATAAAAAAAAAAGATAAACCTAAATAAATAGGCAACCTCGGTATGAAACTTGAATTCTTAAAATCAATTGCCTAAATACACCAACTCAAATGCGAAACCCACCTATCTACATCCCCAGATTCCCCAGATGCTCCAGTTTCCTCTATGGCGCAAATATGGCGCAAATATGGCACAAATACACAGGACTCCGAAATGCTCTGTAGGGCCTGTACAAATCGAAATATGCACAAATTCAAAGTGGAAGCCCCCTCAAATCAGATAACAAGCAACACCCCAATCCCCCGAAAAGATCTCACTCAATTCTCTGGTGCTCGAATCGCTTCGATAACAACATCCAGAGAGAACACGAAAGGCGCATGCTGATTACGTGGGTTCCATTTGCGGAATGCGCTTTGGCAGCGGTCAGGCACGCCGCCGAGGGCCACGAAACTTTTGGGGATAAATGGTCGGTCCTGGAGGGATGTGGCAAGGATACCATATTCATGCGCGAAGACCACTGCCGAGGCGAAATCGGCAGACTTCTGTGAGGCTTGCTCGCCGATAATCCTGTGAGAGCGGAATTAGTATCAGTCAAGTGGAGGGTATTCAGATAGGGTAGTACTTACACGTAGATCTCAAAGAAGGTGTCCAGAACGTATACATCTTTCTCAGTGATGTCTCGATAGCAGAATGGCTCGATTTCTTGAACGCAATCGTTTGCCTTGACCACTGGTGAACTTGAGCCCGGACGACGGATATTCCAGAAACGCGTTGGCGGGTTCAGTTCGTGGTCGACCCGGAGGAGTCGTGTGCGGAAGTGGTTGTATTTCGACTTGAGCTGCCAGTGATCTTGGCACATGTGCGGCGCGGCCTCCCGGGGGCCTGCGAAGACATCGAAGAAATCCTCCGGCTCTTCGCCCTCGGTGACCTCTTCAAACTCTCCAGTGAGGCCTAGGTCCATGCCGATAAGTCGGGCTGCGCCGGTTTCTTCAGGGCCACTGCCTTTGCCCTTCCATAGGTAGAGCTTGCCAAAGGGAGCAGAGACAACGTAAGGGAAACCAGAGCAGAGGTTGCGCAGTGAGTAGTCCACCTCATCAAAGGTCATCTCGCCCAAGTGTTTCCGGCCACAAAGCATATAGAGAGCCGATGAATTGTGGCGAGAGCTGGATCCACGACGCGTGATCATAATGCCGCCAAGTGCTTGAATGAACCGTGTGGGCTCATTGCCCTGTCGAATGACTTGCAACTTAGAGCTATTCTCACGAGCGACCTTGCGTGCGAACGGCTGTTCATTCTCTACCGAGGCTTCGGGGACATCGTCTCCACGCCAAAGGTATACTTCCGAGGTGCTGCTTCGTCCGTTCTCGAATGTGTGTACGCAGAGATACATGCTGCCTTGGTATAGGATGTACTCCTGGTGGGAAGGAAGTTCCTGACGCCTCCCATCACCGGTAAGCTCCCAGATCTGTCGCTTCATGATCCTGATCTTTACATCGTCCGGCTTACGCATCAACATCAGCTGGGGATCAATGTCCATCCGGTTTCGAGCGTTGGGGAGTGTCTTGAAGAAGCCCGCAATTACCTCACGTGCCTCACTAGCTTGCGCAACCAGCGATGGGGCAGACATCTTTCTTGAAAGTCTGCGCGGATCGGTTGGCTTGGGAATCATAACATCACCGTCTTTAGGGGGTACTGGTGGGGAGGGATGGCTCATGGGCCGTGAGACGGAACTGCGTGCTGACTCGACGATAACACCGGGGATGCTCTTCTGCTGACTCATAGGTGAGTCCATTTGGTTCTCTTTGTGACTTGTTCGGAGAGGGGATGGCGATGAGGACGCAAACCGGTTTTGCTGGCCCCATTGTGGCTTTGGTGTTACAGTCGAGGGGGACGTGGGAGGATCGGACGCGGGATGGTCGAACTTCGGCGGGACAGGTGGTCCGCTTGATGGACTCACCTCTCCAGGACTCTTGGGGTCCCTGGAAGTCGCCTCAAAGGTGGCGGAGGGGAAAATGTCGAAATCCGTTGTTAGGGAACGGGTCTGAAGTGCTTGGGGAAATCCGCTTTGGGGCGTATCGCGTTCGAGGGTATCCTGTGGAGGAGTGTTCATATCCGGAAGCTGCTCGGTGACTGGGCTGTCTGAACGGGGGTTGATGTCAGGAACTGGGGTTTCATCAGGCTGCGACAGGTACTCCGAATCGATGTCCAAGGATTCAACAGGGATTGTAGGAGTCTGGGACGGGGTGGCTTCAGAGCATGAAATAGCACCAACCTCCTTAGTATCATCCCGAGCGGACGGGGTCGGGATATCGGTCGTCTGGGGAAGTCGTCTCTTCGGGCCTCTGGCACGACCCTTTGTGATGTGCGTGAGAGGCGCGGATGGCGAAGCAGGGTCACTCTGCGTTGAAACGGGGGTTGACAGCTGCTTGTTCGGTCCGTCACTGGCAGGCGCACCACGAGAAAGCAGGCCAGCTAGCGCAGGGTTGATTCGGCCCGCCAACTTGCTTTTAGCTGTTAGAGTTGGAGTCACGGTGGCATCTGTGACAGGCGCCGGTGGCCATTGACGAACTGGGCGGAGTGTCTTGACTGAGGGTTCTTGCATCTTCACTACGCTGGGCTCGATTGGTGCCACGTCTTCGCGGGTATCCTCCCGCTCCGCTGAAGAAACAATTTCGGGAGTTTGCTTGTAGTCGTTCGCCGCTGGGATTGCCTCCTCTGGCTCATCAATGGGATCATCAGCAGGGAACGGTGACAACGGCTGCGATTCTTGAGACGCTCGCCAAGAACCGGTATCTTTTAAGGGCCAGCCCGGCTCATCGTTGGCAGGAGATGGCGACAACGGCTGTGGTTCCTGAGAAGCTCGCAATGCGCCGATACTTTTAAGCGATGAATTCGGGGACGACAATGGCGGTCTGTCCTGTGAACTTCGAGAACCAAATGTCTTAGCGGGCAACATCGGCTCATCGTTGGCAGAAGATGGCGACAATGGCTGTAGTTCCTGAGAAGCTCGCGATCCACCGATACTTTTAAACGATGAATTCGGGGACGATAATGGTGGTCTATCCTGTGAGGTTCGAGAACCGAAGGTCTTAGCGGGCAACATCGGCTCATCCACAGGTGCCTGCTTTATGCTATTTGCCCGGGTCATATTTTGCCGAACAGCAATTGCTTCTGGGACGACGTCAGTCAGTTTTTGCGGCGCATCCTGCTCTCCGGCGGTATTCCGTCTGATGGAGCCTCCGCCGGCTTTCATTTCATCTTTGCGTGTCACAAGGCTTCTCCTGAATTCATCAACCCGCTCGGTCTTCTTTGGTCCGCCAGTGTTGTTCAAGGCAGCTTTGCCTCGTAGGATATTGCCCTTGAGCTCATCGGGTGCAACATAGTTGCGAGTTTCGGTCTTTTTGAGGCGCCCAAATACATTTTTAAATTCTGGTTCTTTGTCATCACCGTTATCTTTGACGACTTCTCGTTTCCGTAGGTTTGCTCGGAAGTCCACCACAGGAGATTGTGGTTTCGACGTGGGTGAAATTGGCCCCCGCGAGGAAGTAGAGATGGAAAAGTTGGGTTTGGGGCTCAACGAGTCAGGAGGGACCCTGCGAGTGGGAGTAGATTGAGGCTCGGACTCTTCAGGTGCCGGTAGTTCTTGCGACTCATTCTCCATTCCAGCGGGAGAGGCAGGCTTAGGCTCCTCCGCCGGTGCGCCGCCTGATAGGGCATTGAGAGCTTCATCGACAGGCGATGGAGAAGCCGGAGTTTCCTCTTTTGTTTGTCTGGGGCCAGGGCTACCGAGAACTGATGGAGATTGTGGGACTGTCTCCTTCAATTTTGCTTCGGGTGTTCCATCGATCGAGGGACTAGAAATACTGGGTTTCTTGGATGAGAACTCCAACGGAGAAGAAGGGGCAGTCTCCTTGACAAGGCTTGGACTAGAGATACTGGGCCGCTTGAGCGGGAATTCTGCCGGAGTCTCTGAGACGGAGTTTCTGTGGAGTGATGAACCCGAGCTACTAGGCTTTTTGAAAGGGAATCCCGAGGGAGACTCAGGTGCTGCTTTAAACTTGCCTTCAGGGCTTCCACTGACTGACCCTCCAGCGGTACCAGGCCTCTTGAAAGGGAATTCAGAGGGAGGATCTGAGGCAGAGTTCCTGTGAATCGATAAACCCGAGATGCTTGGCTTTTTGAAGGGGAAGCCAGACGGAGACTCAGGAGCTGCCTCCTTCATAGGGCTCGCAGGAAGCGACGGATCAGAAGCACCGATTTTCTTCCGAGGAAATCCTAATGGAGACTCAGGAGCTGCCTCCTTCATAGGGCTCGCAGGAAGCGACAGATCAGAGGCACCGATTTTCTTCCGAGGAAATCCTGATGGAGACTCAGGGACACCATCCTTAATAGGACTTGTAGGAAGCGACGGACCAGAGGCACCGACTTTCTTTAGAGGAAATCCTAATGGAGACTCAGGAACGACATCCTTGGTAGGGCTCGTAGGAAGGGATGGACCAGAGGCACCAATTTTCTTCAGAGGGAATCCTGATGGAGACTCAGGAACACCATCCTTAATAGGACTTGTAGGAAGGGATGGACCAGAGACGCCAGGTAGTTTGGTTTGAGTTCCTGGCGGGGGTGTTCGCATCAAACCGAGAGGGGTGACTTCCTTGAAATTGTTGACTCGTCCCAAATCCACGCTACCTCGCGATTGCCGGTCTTTAGCCCAGTTGGGCTGCGATGGGGGTCTGGTGGTTTGTCGTGGTAGTTCTGGTCGGTTGAGAGCACTCTCCAACCAAGAAGCCTTGCTGGGGCTCCAGCGCCTAGGGTCCATTGTTTTCGAGGTAAATGGACTTTGAGCGTCGCCGCCTTCTGCGGTGGCAGAGCTAGCAGAACGCGAGTGACCAGGTCGGAATGATTTTCCTGTGCTTTCAAAATTCACACTGTCTTTATCTGCCGGTGTGGTTGGTCGTTCGGTTGTCTCGGTGGGTGCCTCGCTGTGGCTGGAGCCTGGTCGTTGCAGGAGAGTTGAAGGTTCACGTCCAATTCGCCCAAGAGTTGGAGGGGTCATTTCACTCAAACTTGGACCTCCCACACTGCTGCGATTTGACACAATGGAATTTGACCGCCCGAGCCCCTGTGGAACTTGCGCACTCCACCTTTTTGACACACTATCTGATCTTCTCATCATCGCACTCTGAACAAAGCCTCCCAGACCCTTGGTAGGTGAGGTCGACCGTGTTCGCTCTGGTGACATCCGCCGCTGAGTTGGAGAGGGTGACATAGATTCCTCAAAGGAGGGATCATTCTGTCGAGGCTCGAGCTTTGGAGTCTCTGACAGGTGCACTGGCGACCCCAGCCCAGTGGCCGAAACGGATGATACAGAGAAGCGATGGCTCATGTTGCTATCGCGAGAACCGGTTCTCGGAGGCGACGATGATCTCTCTTCTACTGCCGCAAGTTTATCTAGTTCGGTACTTGATTCTTCACTTACTTCCGGCTCCTGGTGCCCCACACCCACGTCTGTTTGGACCTCCCTCTGTTCTTCCTTCTCCCTGTGTGCTAATGACCCAGTCCCATGATCTGGCGATGGAGGGAGCACAGGGGCATCCTTCGAGGACCGCGGGAACCCAAATTGAAGTCGAGAAAGTGTGTTCTCATCCGATGCCGTGGACAAATTTCTGAGGTGGCTTGCGCGAGTTGGGGAGCGAGTTGGAGATGTTGAGCCGGGTGACATGCCGAATTCCCGCGAAGAGGGGCGTTGCTGCCATGACAAAGTCCCCGCTCGGCTACGAGACAAAGGTGGCAGTGTCCGCGAGGGAGAATCCATTCCGAAATCCGGGATCGATCCACGCCGCTTGTCGGTGTCAGAGGCTTCGAAATCTTGACTCGAATCTACGGCGCTCAGGGTGGGTGGCTCAGATCCTGGGGTTTGGGATGTTTGGGATGTTTGGGGTGTTGGCTCGAGGTGTTCTGGGGGTTCGATAGACCGGGCGCTGATAGAGGAAACACTCAGTCGTGCGATATTGAGGGTGGATGAATCGTCGGTAAGGGCTAGTGATCGTGCACGCTCTGTTTTGAGTCATCCGGATATCAGCACATTGTTGACCTGCAGCAAATGCTATGACTATGCAGACATTGCTTGCATCAAGGGGAAGAGGGAGTATATACCAGCTCGTCGGGCTTGCCTTTCCTTCCGACCCTGCAGGATCTCTTCTTCTAGTTTCTTGGTGCGGTCATCGTCTTCCTTATCGCGGCGCTCGCCTAGTTCTCGGATGCGCTGAAGGAAATCATTGACGTCCTCGGAACTCTCATTGGGAACAGCCATGATCTAGAACTCCTGGCGTTCATGCACGGCTCCTAGAATAAAACGAATGAGGGGGAAAGAGTTGTAGAGTGGAAGAAGGGCTGTGTTCTCCGCCCTGTTTAAATTAAATCGGGACTGACGATGATCAACAAATTCATTGGCTCACATATCACTTTTTTTTTTTCTTCCTTATATATTTTTTAATCTATTTATCTTTCTTTCTTATTCTAAATTTTTATTTTTGTTTTTTTTTCCTACATCAGCATGGATAGATGCATTTATACAGACCAGATCCCAATCGGCCATAAGGGTTTTGTTTACTCTTCATTATTTATGTGGACCGATGGGCCCCGCAGTTTTTTCTTGTTCCATGGGCTTTGGGTTCCTTCTTTCTGGTTCCTTGGGGGTTTTTTTCTGGTTTTTTCTGATTTTCAGGGGCGAGGTAAAAAGGACTAAGTTGAACTCATAGTTGGATCATATGTGAACCATTTTAGTATTGGATATATCAGTTTGTGCCTTGCATACGCTAGGTTGTAACTCCATACGGAGTACACGGTAACCCGTACACGATGAAATGAAAACATTACTTTTCTTCACTTTTTGTAAAGTTCTACTCTAGCCTATCGGATATGAGCAGCCTACTTCCTTTGATATTTGGAAACTAGATGGTCCTTTGGAAGATGTAAGCAGTATTATAAAAGGTATGCATAACATGCACCGCATCGATGATTTTTAGAATATGACTGATGGCACGTTAGTTTAAATATAACTAGTTAGTTTAAATATAACGGGGGAGACAACACACTTTAACCTAATACATGAGTAGACCAGAATCTGAATTGGAAGAGACAACTTGACATATACTGTATTAGATATCTGCTGTAGATATGTATAGATATCAAGAGAAGACACCCCGATTTCCCCCAAATGCACTAATAAAGGAACAATCGGTCCTTGGCATCCTGTACCACCCATTCCAGACCTTCATTCAGATTTGTGCCTGTCATTGCACTGCATGGCAGGATAGTCCACTTATGGGTTTTGATTGAATCCAAGTCAAGACGCTGCATAAAACATTAGCCAAAGTCCGGCAGACTTCACCGAATTCCAAAGGAAGAACTTAGACCTACTTCTCGGACCTCTTGCTCGCTCATGCAATGTTCCACATCTGTCTTATTCAAAAATACTAGTAAACTAGCACCCGTAAGGCGCTGGTGGAATAGGTTCAGTTGACGCTTTTCAAGATTTTGCGGGTGGGGACGTCATCCGTACCTCTTCGAGAAGCAGACCCGAGAGCTCCTGTCGACAATCGTCAACCCGGAGTCGATCTGTAGCATCGACAACCCAGACTAGCGTGTCGGTCTTTTCAAAATAGTTTTTCCAGTAGGATCGGAGTGTTTTTTGTCCTCCAACATCCCCTAATACTGTCAGTACGGGTGCCCACAAGAAACCTGGGTTGGCTCACATATGTTGAGTTTGTATCTGCGCCGAGTTAGCAGAGCTCGAGATATTAAAGGGATGGCAAATTACCCCATAAAGTCAATTGTCTTGATAATAAATCCTAGAGTCGGGCTGACTGTTGTGACATCCTCCTCCATAATTCGCTTGACGATGGTCGTCTTGCCGGCATTGTCAAGACCCCTGCAATCATTAGCATCTCGGTCCGAACGATCGGCCAGGGTCCATACAGCATCAATATACGCATTTCTTTATCCTTTAAGCGGGCTTTTCGAAGTATAGACAACATGGTTGCGAAAATACCCTGTTTGTGCTTTTTGGAGGGGGAGTTGGAAAAGGAAAAATGCTGGCAGGCTCCAGATGTGGTTTGATCGTGTCTATCGATCGGTCGATATTATATTCCTCCCTATTACTACAACGTGACTTTATATTCAAACATGCCTATCTGAATGTGATGTTGGTGAACATTTCGCTAGGTTGATTTTCCAAAAGGCTCTCACTGTATCGGACTCCAGGCTATGGCATCGACTAGTCGCAAGACAATCCCGAAATTCAAGGCCTGAGACCATTTTATCTGAATACCAACACTCAGATATCTATGCATAAATATATACCAGATGTTATATACTGCAAGCAGACAAATCGAAGGTCATGCTGTCAACTCGGATCTTTGGATCACCTGTGCCGACTTCATCTCCTTGTCTTAGGTCTATCCAGATAGATATCACAGTATCCAGCTTTTGAGACCCCAAAACAGTATTTGAACGAAGTATGGTTGAACTGCTTCTTTGGATGAGAGGGAATAATATAGACGTATAATCGGATAATAGGAAATTGTGAAGGTAACCAGAGGTGTGAACTGAGAGGAAATGTTCGAGGTTTCCCAGTCCCCAAGTCCGCTCTCTCTTCCCTCCCCCCCCCCATATCTTCCTCTTCGTCCTTTCCACTCATCATCTCTTCCACCTTCATCTCTCCCACCTTCATCTCTCCTACCTTTCATCACTTCGTTCGTTTCATTTCCTTACTCCAAGTATCCACAACGCCGAACGTGCCTCTACAGTCAGCTCTCGCTAGGGAACTGACTGCAATACATCCGATCATTCAGGTAAGCTTGCTATCAAACATTTTTACGCGTCACACCCTTTGAGGAACAAACACGAGGCCACCCACAAGTGACATATGTGCGGAACAGGCACAGTTGCAAGCCCTACCCCAAGTGGGTTCGCAGAACTTCGCAACTGCTTCCTTGTTTTCCAATTTCACATGCTATTAAAGAAAAGAGAGAGGGAGACCAAGAATAGACCAAAGAAGCACCGTGACAATGATGTTTGAGAATCCTAGCTGACTTGAACATATCTACCAGAAACTCCGATTCAATTCCCCGTGACCTAGTTCATATCACAATGGCAGAAGAAATTGAAATATCTATGCCATTACGTGGTAGGGATGCTGTCTATCAAAAGCCGCCCAACAAGTTCAACAAGCCAACATCGACAGTGGCCCTGAATGGCTCTAGTTCAGTTTCAGCCATGCTTCATGTTTTCGAATCCATGGACGAAATGGAAAGAAATAAGTTGATACAGAGCATAGAGAATCTGAGCTGGAAAAAAACTTGGGATTTGACCAAACAGTTTGACAAACAGAGGAGAGAGAAAATGCCCGTGAAACAGCCTCTGTTCGGCATGGAAAACGAGAGTCACTCCTGCCCCGAGATGCTTCCCACAGCAAGGGATGGGCCTGGGGTCGATTTGGGCAGTGTTGTCTATGAGTTGCTCGCCAAACCCAGGACTGCCGAAGGCGTTGAGGAACCTGAGCCGTGGGCAGCAGCTGACCCACCCGACTATATCCCTGACTATGAACATGGAAAAATCGAAAAGACGGTCAAAAGGTCCAACAATGTGGAGTTTCGGACCCAGTGGGATGCCCAACGCAAAAGGCAAGCAAATGCATACGCAAAATCTCATCGTATCTACCCAATCGTCCAAAATGGCACCCTTGCCTTGACATCGGACTGCAAGAAAGTTGTTTACGAGCCGGAACGATCTCTTCTTGATGACTGGAATTTGGACGTCCAAGATGGAGAGGATCGATGGCACGAATTCAAACATAGAATTACGTCGTTTGATCTTCCCAACGCGAGTGTCAGAAAGCAATTCCGCACCTGGTGGGATAAGATTCCGGCAGGACACCAAGTCGACATCTACCACGCTGCCTTCTTTGACGGAACCGCGATGCCCGACGGACAGTCTTCTATGTTTCTGCCAGACATCAAGCATATCCCCACCCCTAGGGACATGAAAGATGAGCTGACACGCATGCATTGGCACGAGACATCGGAAGGCTACGTATACAACCTGGGGAAGGTCAACAGAAGACGACAGAAGAAGGAACAGGAACACCAAGAGCACCTTCGCCGTACTGCGGCTTACCGTGCTTGGCTAGAGTTGCCACCGGATTCGAAGGTTGTTCCACCCGGCATCTATCTGCGTCCTGCGGAGCAGTATGACGTTTCTTCTATCCTTGAAATAGTGAACTGGTATGCTCGAACCTCAGCTTTGAGCAGTAAAACCCGATCCATGGAAGCGAATGACGTTGGGGAGCTTGTTCAATTTTGCCGAGAAAACCCACCTCCCCTTCGTCGTCGCTGCTCGACGTCCGCCAGAGCGCCTGTGTCGTAACCAGATCGACCCTGTGGTTGGCTACGCCTATGTCGGATTCCATGGACACGGCAAGCGCGCTGACAAGCACACTGGTGAGCTGCATGTCTTCGTCCAAGAGAGTAGCAAGAAGCAGCACATTGGACGGGCACTTGTTGATATGGTCCTCTCTTGTTTTGATGTGACCTCCAAACAAAGCAAAGATTACGAGTTCGACCGAACTGGTACAGTGCAGTACGGTGCGGGTTATGGATGCTTCCTCAGATCAATGGTTTGCGCCATTGCAAAATCCCCAGAGGCCCGGGAGGAGCATGCCTGGATCAAGAAGTGGTTGGAGAGGGACTTTGGCTTTGAGGAAAAGTGCGGATTTAAGAATGCGAGAGTGAAGAGTGGTAAGAGGTATGTCTTGTTCTTGCTCTTCACTTTCATCCTGGATTGTATTTGCTAACACATATTCTTAGTTTCGATCTTCAATGCATGGCTCGTCGCATCAAGGCCCCACAATCGAGCAATGGTGTCAAGGGCCGACCTCAGGCTCAAACTCGGCCACAGGGGAGTGGTACTCAGTCTGCGATGCTCAACTACGTCTGATGGGCCTGCGAATGAATGATGTGGAGACTATGGAGGGAGCTGATCTTCGGAAAATCTGGTGGCAGGGAGAAATGACGGTCTGGAAGAAAAAGGGAAGAAAAACGGAAAAAAAATTGAAAACAAAATGAGACTACTATGACAGACACATCTAGGATGTCTCACCAAAAAAAAGGGTCGATGTGTTGAAAAGGCATATGGGGATATCAGGCGGAGAAGGAATTAATACCCACATAGGTAGCTAGTGAATCGAAACTGTATGATTAAATTAATTCTTCCTTGATAATAAGCTTGGAATAGAATGATAGGCAGCGAGGCAGCCTTGGAATAGAGAGAGAGGCTGGTGACAATCGGGCATCTCGAAGCAGACTGATTATGTCATCAGAAATTTTCCTGTCACCGCCCGGGGAACTTTTTTTTCGCATGTTGATCCATTTCTTCTCGGCGAGGTTGAGTTGCTTGCACAGTGTTCGGGGGTCTTGGATTTTCTACTGAGACTGTTTGAGATAGTGTGGAAGACATAAAACTACCAAATACCTACTGGAATTTGCGCCAGCCTTCAAAATGGCACCTCAATCGGCGAAGCGGAGTTCCGCCAAAGACGATGATTTCGTATTCACGCTCTCCGACGACGAGAACGAAACCCGTTTCGAAGAAGAAGAAGAAGATGACAACGAGATGCAGGGCGATAATGCGCCAGCATCAGACAACAAAAAGCGCAAGCGCGAGGTCGAAGCCGTCAAGCCCAAGAACAAGAAGCAGAAGCAGCTGGAAAAGCAGCAATTGAAAAACGCCAAGAAGAACAAAAAGAACGCCGAGCCTGCACCCGAGCCCGAATCGGAAGAGGAGGAGGACCAGGATGATGCTGCAGCGGATGCAACAGAAGACGACGGCGTTTTGAACCCCGAGTTCGAGTTCGATGTTGGCGGTATCGCGAACCGTGGTGTCACTGAAGGCTTCGATGGCTGGGGTATTGATGATAACGAGAAGAAACGCTCGGGGGACAAGAAGGCTGTCGATATTGACGACATCATTGAGCGGAGGAAGGCCAAGAAGGATGAGGCTGCTGCTAAGAAGCAGAAAAAGAAGGCCGCCGAGAAGGAAGAGAGCGCCAGCGCATCTGAAGACGACGCTGCATCGGGCGACGAAATGCCCGTTGACTTCGAGGATGATGAGCTCATGGCTGACGACGCCTTCGGCATGGGCGCAGACGGCGAGGAGGAGAGTGATGCCGAGGGCCCTGAGCCTGGCTCTGGGGATGAAGATGAGGAGGACGATGAGGACAAGGATGAGAATGAGGATTCTGATGACGATGCTGCATCTGACAACGACTCTGTCGCCACACCCGTTGGTCACCCCGACGACAATGGCTCAGACCGGGAGTCCGATGTAGAGAGCGAGGTGGACGAGGAGGAAGCAGAGAAGCGTAAAGCGTTCTTTGCCCCCGAAGAAAAGGTCGATACCAAGGCCAACATGGCCAAGATGACATTCCAAGAATTCAACCTTTCCCGCCCCATCCTTCGAGGTCTCGCTGCCGTTGGATTCACAGACCCGACTCCTATCCAGCGCAAGGCGATTCCCGTTGCTCTTCTGGGCAAGGATATCGTCGGTAGTGCCGTGACTGGTTCAGGAAAGACCGCTGCCTTCATTGTTCCTATCCTCGAACGTCTCCTCTTCCGTCCCCGGAAGGTCCCTACAAGTCGTGTTGTGGTTTTGATGCCCACTCGTGAGTTAGCTGTTCAGTGTTACAACGTTTCCGTCAAACTGGCCACCTTCACAGACGTCACATTCTGTCAATTGGTTGGTGGTTTCAGTCTTCGCGAGCAGGAGAATGTGCTCAAGAAGCGCCCCGATGTTATCATCGCCACCCCCGGTCGTTTCATTGATCACATGCGCAACTCGCCCAGTTTCACAGTTGATACCCTGGAGATTCTTGTTCTCGATGAGGCCGATCGTATGCTTGAGGATGGTTTCGCCGATGAGTTGAACGAGATTCTCACCACGATTCCCAAATCTCGCCAGACTATGTTGTTCTCTGCGACCATGACAGACTCAATCGACAAGCTTATTCGTGTTGGTATGAACCGCCCGATGCGCTTGATGGTTGATGCCAAGAAGAACACTGTATCCACCCTTATTCAAGAGTTTGTGCGTCTCCGTCCCGGACGGGAGGACAAGCGTCTCGGTTACCTTATGCACCTGTGCAAAGAAGCCTACACGAAGCGTGTTATTATCTTCTTCCGACAGAAGAAGGAAGCTCACCGAGTTCGTATCATTTTCGGCCTATTGGGCTTGAAGGCAGCAGAGCTACACGGTAGTCTGAGCCAAGAACAGGTATGTTCGGAACAAGTCTTGTCCTATATCTACAACCACTAACTTCGTATACAGCGTATCAAATCCGTCGAAAACTTCCGAGATGGCAAGGTTGCCTACCTTCTCGCCACTGACGTTGCGTCTCGTGGTCTGGATATCAAGGGTGTCGAAACGGTCATTAACTACGAGGCTCCCCAGAGCCACGAGATCTACCTGCATCGTGTTGGACGTACAGCTCGTGCCGGCCGCTCTGGTCGTGCATGCACGATTGCCGCCGAGCCGGACCGCAAGGTCGTCAAGCTTGCCGTCCGCGCCGGTAAGTCGCAAGGCGCCAAGATCGTCAGTCGTGTGATCGAGCAAGCCGTTGCCGACAGCTGGGCACAAAAGGCCGAGGATATGGCCGACGAGGTTGCCGAAATCTTGCAAGAGGAAAAGACCGAGAAGCAGTTCTCTCAAGCTGAGATGCAATTCACCAAGGGTGAGAACCTCATGAAGCACGGTAATGAGATCATGGCGCGGCCGAAGCGGACGTGGTTCGAGACCGAGAAGGACAAGAAGGTTTCTCGCAAGCTGGGTGCGGTTGAGTTGAACGGTCCCAATACCAAGAAGAGCAATGTCAAGCTTAGCAACAAGGACAAGAAGCGTCTTGATGATTCGCAGATGAGACACGATGGTAATATCGGGTGGAAAAAGGGCAAGGGTGATGCAGATTCTGCTAAGGACCCCAAGAAGGGTAAGGGTAAGGGTAAGGGCCCTGGTTTCAAGAAAGGGAAGAAATAAGGGATCTATGAATCGTGTATACAATTGAATACCATGCAAATAGCATTTGAAGCAACTAATTGTCTTTCTATATAACGTGTATACCCTATATACCCTATAAGTATACCCTATAAGTATAACCTATAACTACCTAGGTAGTATGTATAACCTATAACTATACCCTATACCTAATAACCTCTAGTGGGGCCTAGATCCCTCGGAGGTAAGGTAATCTCCAAAATCTCCCACCAATCAAAGTCTTTCGACTCCAACTCGAGCTCAAGCTGATTCGACGTCAATACCATTTCATTCTCATAATCCTCAGGCTTAATCCCCGCGCCCCACGTAGGGCGCCAAAAATCTTTTCTCCTATTTTTATCTTTTCTTTCATTTTGTCTTTTTCCCCCCTTCTTTTTCCGGGGAGTATCTCTCGAATTGGGACCTTCAAAAGGTGACACTTGGAATGGCTGAGCCTCCCAAGACTAGTCTCCCCCGGAAGAGCGCCTTCTCATGCGAGGCCTGTCGTAAACGCAAGGTGCATGCGGATCCCCTCGGACGAAACCCGAGATTTCCGAGCTAACTGCTTACCAGGTTAAATGTAACGGCGCTAGCCCGTCATGTTCGCGATGCGCAGCGCGCAGCGAGCAGTGTGTGTATAGCTTGTGAGTCGATCCCCCCCTTTTTGATGACTTCTATTATCGCCAATCGCTGATTATTTCCTTTTTTTTTTCAAAGAGCCCCGACATTATCGTACACGAAGCAGCTTGAGGCTAGGGTGGCACAGTTGGAGGATGCTTTATCGAAGCGCGTCGATGGGGAAGAGGTGCGGAAGACAAGATCGCCATCCTTAGCTACGTCCAGCTCGAGCGGACCGAAGATAAAGATTGATCCCGATACTGAAGATCTCACCCGGGCATTTGATGGTCTCAATGTGGAAAATGACGGTCGCGTCTCATTTCATGGTCCGACTAGTTTGTTCCAGCTGCCTAGTGGGGTGGTGAATGAAGCCGCGTCGACTTCGCATCACGCGCAGGAATTGGAGGGTCGCAAAGAGCGGCTTGTTAATAGCGCATGGCGGGAAAGAGCATTCGAGCAAATGGCTGCTATACCGGTATAGGCTCTGGTGAATTGGACTGTTTGAAAGATCCATATGCTGATACACTTCTGCAGGAGCCTTTCCAGTATCTTCTCGACTCGCATTGGTGTTGGATCCAGCCACTGTGGAATTTTGTCTACCGTCCTGCATTTACACGTCTGTCCGACCTTGCTATTCCGGACGACATATGACACTAACCTCCCCTAATAGGTGATATGAAAATAAATGGGGCGTATTACTCGGACGTCCTGTTAAATGCCATTCTTTCTCACTCGGTACGATGGTGCAAAGCCGAGCCTCAAGTTGGTCCGCTTCTAGACTCCTATGACGGCGGTGCACAATTCTCCCATCGTGCATTGACTGGGGTGTTCGACTCCCTCAAAGTTGGTTATGCAGGCATCCCGACCATTCAGACATTACTCCTTCTCAGTGCCCAGGAGTGTGGCCGTGGAAATCGAACGCAAGCTTGGCTATACAGTGGCATGGCCTTCCGGCTGCTGGACGACTTGGGTATCTCCATCGACAGCCGGAAATATTCAGGATCTGCTCATTTGAGTGATGAGGATATTGAAATACGGAATCGCCTATTTTGGAGTTGTTATTTCTGGGATAAGGTGGTTTCACTGTACTTCGGCCGGGCGCCAACGATGCAGCAATCCCACGTTAGCCCGCCACGCATGATTCTCGATGATACCGCTGAGATCGAAATATGGACACCTCATGGGGTAGGCTTCACTGATGGTGCCCACTATCCACCAACACAGGCGCATTCAACGTCATGTTTCATGAAGATGTGCGGTCTGGCGGAAATATTGAACCAGATCCTGATCCACATATACGACCCAATCCGCCGAAGCACGGACTCTGAATTCTTTGATTGTGTTCAGGAACAGGCCAAGAATCTAAGTGACTGGTGGGATGAGCTACCTGAGTACTTGAAATTGGCGGCGGTCGATCTTCCTCCATACTCACCACCCAGCCATATCGTGATCTTGAAGTATGTGCTTAATCCTGCGTAAATTGAAGACATGGTGCTAACTGAAATTCTTCTAGCTGTTTATATCATACTATCAACATCCTTCTCCACCGACCAATACTCTGCTCTCGAGAGCTATTGAAAGCCCGCCCGGAGGCACATGACTCGAACCATCTTGTACAGTGCATGGCATCAGCAACATCAATCCTATCTCTCTTCGATCTATACCGTCGTACATTCGGCGATAGCCACGTCGTCCTCTCTCTGGCATACAGCATCTATACAGCAGCATCGATTTTCCTACTCGAGATCCAAGCCCTAAAGTACGCCGCACCAGGAACCCTGGACAAGCTCAAATTCTGCATTTTCGCCCTTGAGAGGGTCAAGGCCGCCAACCCCGTTATCACAACAGCCCTCAGCCTCATATCTCAGGAGCTCCAAAGACTCCAAATCAACATCCACGGACCAATGCCCACGCCTATTCCTAAAACCGAACAGGAACACCCCCAACATCACCAATCCCCACCTCAACACCACCCTCAACACAGCCAGTCCCCGTCAGTAGGCAGCAACCGATCCCGCCACGTCTCTCCAGGTCAGCACCACCAACCACAAGCATCGGTAGCCACTCAAGCCCAAACCACCGGCCCTGAAAACCCGCCTCTGATGGGAACCTACAATAACTTCCCGCACACAGGGCCAGGTTTCAACATCCCGCATTCAGGCGAAATGCCCCAACTGCCGCCTACACACTTGCTAGGCGGGATGCCAAACGCCGTCATGACGATGGATGACCCCCGGTCCTACGAAATCGCGCCTGAGGTATATGAAGCATTCTCGTATGCGCAGCCGATCACAACGAATATGACGCCTATGACGCCTGTCTTTGAGCAGGGCTGGGGTGGTCCTCCTCAATGATCTTGTTATAACGTCTCTCGGACCTGGTTTTGAAGCTGGTTTTTTTCTTTTTTTTTCCTCTTCTCTCTGCTCGCCGACTCTGTTCTGCTTTCGTGATTCCCAAATACACATACAATTAGCAGCCTGCAAAGATCAGGATCAATCTGAGGTAGATATATCGCTTCAGCATCCAATGATATAACCACATATATATATCCATGTAAGCAATCTTGCAAGCTTCACGGCATTAATGGTATGTTCCCTGCCAATTAACGGAAAGGGAAGGCATCTCTACGGCTTCTTATTATAGGAAAAGGCTCTGGTTGATATGCAAAATAGATTCGATATCTTGGAATTACCCAAATATAAAAAATCGAACCGGTATCAAAGTCAAACGTGGGCCAAATCATAACAAATGGGGTATCAGTAAATGACAAGCATATACATCAATGGGATGCCAAAAAGAAACAACGAAAAGAACCATCACAAGGAGGAATCTCCAGACTTCAAACACGACCGTCCTTCAACGCAACATTCTGCGACATATCAGCCGGGGAATCAAGATCCCACTCCCTCGGCCTAGCTCGCCACCGCAGATACCACGGCCCATCAAACAAATCCCCCATCCGCTCAACAGGTACACCCTTCGTCTCGGGCATCCAAACACCAAGGATAACCAGCCCGGAGAAGCAAATAAGCGCCCAGAAGAGATAAGCACCCCAGACACTAAGCGAGACAAACATATTCGGGGTAACACGCACAACAGCAAACTGGAAGAACCAGTGCAGCGCCATGCTTATCGCATAACTGACGTTGCGGATGCGCGTTGGGAAGATCTCTGTGCCGTACAGGTAAGGCACAGTGCAGAGGCCGATGGACCAGCCAACGGCGTAGATGAAGACGGAGGCGACGGCAGCGTTGGAGGCGTCTTTGTTGTCTGCCGAGCCTGGGCGCAGGCCCATGTATATAGCCATGTAGATGTGCGCGCAAAGCTGTAGGCTCAGTCCGACGAGGGTGCAGCGGCGTCGACCGAGGAGGTCGATTAGACCCCATGCGAAAGCCATCGTGAAGATTAGTTTGACGATCCCATAAGCGCCGGAGGAGACGAGGGAATTTCCGTCGTCTTTTACGCCGGCGTACTGTTTCACATATGTTAGTGTTTTGTTATACTTGTTGTATGTAGCTGATGATTGCCTTGTAATTGACGTACCTGGAATATGGTCGTTACGTAGTATGTGATCCCGTTCCCGCCGGTCCACTGAGCGATGGTTTGCATGGCGATTAGGAGCCAGAAGCGCTGTCGGTAATTCGGGTTTGTCTGTGTCTCTTTGAATATAGTCCAATGAGAGACGGATGCTAAGTCTGTCGCTCGCTCCCGCTCCCGTGCATCGATAATCGCGAATTCCTTTGTGATTTCGGGATCATCGATAGCCTTGCCGCGTAGCCGTGCGAGAACATCTAGCCCTTCCTGACGAAGCTGTTTCGAAACGAGATACCGCGGAGTCTCAGGGCAAAGGTACGACAGACCATATGCAATCCCGACAGGAATTAAAGGCACCGCCTGAACTAGGCGATATTGGGTTCGCGTGATCACCATATGGACCCTGGCACCATAGTTGATAAAGAAACCTGTCGATAAGTCAGATTGGGGCCGAATATATATGCAATATACGATATATAGAGGGACAAAAGCTTACCCATGGCCAGAAAGGCCAGTAAGAATACCATGTATATCCCCACCACTAGACCTCTTGTCTTAGCAGGGGCTATTTCGGTCAAATACAGTGGCGCAGTCACCGTTAAACCGCCTGCGCCTAACCCGGCCCATATGCGACTAAACAAGAGCAGTCCGTATATACCGGATGCGAATACTTGGATCAATGTGCCAGTTGCCCACACGATACATGCTAGGCGCCATACCACCAAGCGCCCGAGTCGATCATTGAGATCCAGGACTACCAGGGCACCAAGTGCTGCACCTAGGACATTGAAGGAGGTGATGTTCGCTTTCCGGTTAGCTAGCTCGGCCGCGTTGACCCCCGGGTGTGTAGTGAGGTCGTAGTCGGACTTGAAAGAGGGGAGGGAGACACTGGCGCTATAACCACCCTCGTCATAGCCTGTGAATGACAACGCAATTAGCAAATGTCATTGTTAATTATTGCAGGTCGTTGTCCGACGAGTTAGACCAGTGAAAGGAATTGCACATGTACCTTTGGGAATCCCGCCACAGGCAATGACAGCAATCACCAGGGCATAGTATGGATTGGTCGACCATCGGGATGTGATCCATCGCATGACCCGTAGTATAAGCTCACCGTGAGGGCTGATAACAATAAATCTACTCTGTAGGGGAATTGAAGTGCGATCTCAGGGAGTGGACAAGTGAGGAGAACCAGGTTTTCGGCCTCGGAGCTGAATACAAGTTCGGTCAACATCCGAGCTTGGTACTTTTTTTTGCGGAGGGGTCAATTTGGTACTTTTTCCATATCTTAGGGCTTCAGCAATTGCTGTAAATGCATACGGAGTAAGCTATATTGCATTTTACATTATTGCCTTTCTCGCCTTACAATGACTTCCAAGTGAATCCACCCTTTAATGTCGGATCGCACCGCATCTATCCACTTTTTGGCTCCGCTTGACGGCTCAGCTCATTTAACAGGCCCAAATCGTGGCTTGAGCATTGGAAGCGACCCTTGACGGACAACTTCCGAGCTCGATTTTTCCCTACATCTGGTCACAAGCGTGCTAGGTGTTGACGGGTGGGTCGCACAAGTGCTGTACATCGTACGGAGTACTCCCTACCTATGTTGTATTGTGCTGCTCGGACACGGCCGATGAGTGCTTTTTATTTTTTAAAAAAAGAAAAAGGACGCTGCATTACAGGCACTTAGATCAACATCCACGGACGTTGAGCGGTGAAACTAGCATGTTTCTTCCTAGGTCATGTCTTAGAGTGACATCGCTTTGTTCCTCTGTGAGTATCTCCCCAGGGCTTTATTTTGGCCTTTTCCCTGTACCTCTGCCTACTCGCTTACTATTAGAGACCGGCCGCTGTCTTCATTTGTTTACTATCTATTCGGGATGCTAACCGCTACTCAGTCCAAACCCAACATCCTTCGTGGGCCTTCATCGGTATCGTTTGATGTCCTTTCCACTCGCTTAGAGCAACGGCGTTCAACACATACCCCGCCCACAAGTGTATCGCTCAAGCAGAGACTCCCTCCAAAGACCTGGGATAGCCACATGCATGTTGTGGAACCTGAGCGATTTCCTGTCTCTCCAACAGCGGTATATACACCCACCGCACATACGTTACCCGAAGCTCTCGCCTTCGGGTCCGGACTAGGTGTTGAGAATCTCGTATTTGTGCAACCGTCAGTTTACGGTACGGACAATTCATGTTTATTGGATGCCTTGCGAAAACTTGGGCCCACGCGCGGCCGAGGAATTGTCGTGGTTGACCCTGGCACCATTAAACCAGACACTTTAAACGAATGGCATACCCTCGGAGTCCGTGGACTGAGAATCAACCTTCAGTCTGTAGGGAAAACGATGGACAAGAACGAGCTAGAAGAGACCTTACTCCAACATGCTGAGATTGCCCGGCCTCTCAACTGGATCATCGAGATATATCTTCCCCTCAAGATGATCCCGATGGTCGAGTCGATCCTCCCACGACTAGGCGTGCGCATCTGTATCGATCATTTTGGCAGCCCCGAGCTCGCGTCGTGGGACGATGATGGACCGGCTTTCGACCCCTACACCCTTCATGGGTTCTCGTCCTTGATCTCCCTTCTTCGCGCAGGGGAAACATATGTTAAGATGTCTGCGCCGTATCGACTCAGCAAAGACAATCAAATACGTGACCTTCAGGCTATGGCACGCGAGTTCTTGTCTGTTGCGCCTAATCGGGTTATCTATGCCACTGATTGGCCGCACACTCGATTCTCCAGTGTTGATATCAGCCCATTCACTGAATGTTGTTTGGAATTATGCGCGGCCAGGCCGGGCCTAGCGGAGCGTTTGTTTCGAAGGAACACGGAAGAGATGCTTGGGGTAGTCTCCGATTGATGTGGCTGCATTCATCAAGCATCTTCAGTGCCGGGGATTTGGAGTTTGGCGATTCTTTTTCTATCATTGTTTGTTTACATAGCTTGACCGGTTCACTTTGTTCTGTTATTTCCTGGCCTAGTCTTTTAATGATAAATATTCTTAAACATTATAACAGATTGGGCCAGGGTCACAGGAAATCGTCATTCATCCAAGCATTAGAAGCGAAGTGTGATGATATGTTCGATGTCTATTCACTTGAAGTTGTTGACATAAAAACGCCGGGGTTGAGCTGATTTCTCATGCCGCAAAGTCATAACGCGATTGTATTCAACTATGCCTTCGTATCCCTCTCGACTCTAAACATCTTGCGCATCCTGGAAAATAACATGTCCAGTACAGATCTTCTTCGGCCCCTGAGAAAAGTAGAAGAGATCAGGTTAGCAAATCAGAGAGCTAAATTGACCGGAACAAAACTCACAATAGTATAGCAACACGCTGGCCGAGACTGATCCTCACACAGCTGAGGCTGATCCAATTGATCACCTAGGAAAAGTAGACTGTTAGACAAATCCCAGTGACCAAATATCACGATATTGTTATACATACAGTCCGTTGCCTCATTTGCCTTCGAGTTTCCCCGTGCAGGCGCCATATCACGGCAGCAGAAGGGCTGCTGAACCATGCCGGTGTCGTCCTCAGCGAAGTTACAGTGCATGTTGATCTTCTTGGCCGAGGCCAGCGACAGAATAGCAGCGAAGGCGAGGGCTGAAATGCGCATTATGGCGGTGATGATTTGGTAGCTGGTGGAAGAGAGGTTGGCGTGATATCGAGGTGATGAGAACGTGCTTGGGAAGATCGGCTCAGGTATACCCCAGGGGATGATTATTCTAGGGCAAGATTTTGTCTAATGAACTAGGACTACGAAGGAGAAAACGAGCGGCGAGATGCCTTGCTCCATTGGCCGGCAGGGCGGGTTCCTGGGTTGTGTTTTGTTTAGCCAGGTATGAAGGCCACTCATGGTTGCTTTCATTGGTAGGTTGGTATCTCCTTGCATTCTTCACTCTCCGTGAATGTGGAGGTTTTGGAGTGTTGTGGTTGACGCTCGACAGGGGCTGCTCTCTATTAAGTGGCGGAGTAAGTATAGCTAGGGATAAAGCAGTAATGTAGATCGTTGTTGTTGAGGTCAGCTGAGTGCCCTTTATGATCTCATTATGCGACCCTTGAAAATGGATACTGTCAAGGGATGTATGAGAGTTTGCCAGGTAATGATGTTCTTTACTCCGTAGATTGCAATCCATTAGGGCTATATGTATATGTATTTAGACGGATTAGACGGATTTGATACACATCATCACATCAGACTTAGAAATGCCCAGTCCACCTTATAATAATAGTAATCGGAGACCTACCGAGGCTCATGCAGGTACCACGTGTAATACCTAGGTGTTCTCACTTGCCAACCAAAGCACACAGTGTTTAATGTTCAAAATAACAGCCCACGGGGTTTAATCTTCAAATATGGTTGCCTGTCCACCGTATCAATATCAATAGTGGACTGTGAACATCCCTTTCTATTTGTTGACTGCGCAAATGCCTTCGCATGTTGAGTCAGGTGATGTTTTGTTGAGGCCCCAACGCAGTTACCTAAGCAGATAAGATAAACACACCGCCCTCCCCGGACTCTCTCTCATACTCCTGGACCCCCTCCTTTTCAGATCTCTAGACACATCACTACATCACTGTGCTATTGTACATCTTGGAAAACTATGAAACGCAACTCCTCAACACCAGCTGACATGGAACGCTCTGTCTACATTCCTCTTTGCTTCTGCCTCATCTCTTTTGCCGTTATCGCCTATACCCACTAGTCATCCGCCCGCGATAGCGTTCTGCCCCAACAGCGCCCTAGACGAGGATGAAAGGATCACCCACTGTGGTCCTGAATTCTGGAGTCTAGGATGCCTCTCCTCCCTCCGAAACAATCTTGCCTCCTATTCTCGTCTCATAACACAACATACGAGTCAATCTCCGGTTCTCACACCACCTTGAACCGTTGAAGACTGCCCCTCCGTCGCAAGCAGAATGTGACCGATAAAGTAGCAGCATTGTGTGGATTGAATGATCTACAAGTGTCATCAGGATATACTTGCTCGATCTATCTCCACACAATTATTCACCATCCTTCTTCCACGCCCTCAACTGCCGTCTAGTCCTTGGTCCAATAGACTGGCTACATATGTCACTCCGATTGGATGTTGTCACATGAAGCCAAGATATACATAGGCTCAGACTTGATGGCTTCTTCTTTTACACTCTTCACATTTTTGATACTCTCTTCCCTGTTCCTACCATACTCCGACCAACATCTTCAGATTGATAGGGCCGGGCCCTTCTCTTAGCTGAAACATCTTTCAACATTTATTGGCCTTTATTGGTTTCAATCAAATCTCGACTCAGTCCAGTGCCTCAACCCTGGCTCCTGAGTTACGAGTTGTCTGATCGATATTATTTCCTTGTGTGCTCCCTCGAGTTTGATTCTGGAGTGCTGGTCACTCTTTGTCGCTCTTTTGTGATTTTCCTATACCCATATATCATACATACGATCTACGAATTCAATAATCTTTTCATGTCAAAGGTGTAAACAAGTGTAGATCTCGAATGCAATAATAAACCCCAGTATATCGTATCACATCTCAAGATCTCAAGATCGAATGTGAGCATCTGCCTGGGTCTAGATCGGATCACGTAATCACTGCTGAGAAATCGCCCGCGGTGACGGAACGTGCATTAACAAACCCCGATATCGTCACCACTGCCGTTGTGTTTTTTCGGTTCTCTCACCTCAGCCTGTATATAATTACCCCTCTTCCCCTCTCTCCATGCTCTCCCGCTCCATCCAATCATCCCGGATTAGCTTTCGAGCCTCTTCATCTCTGACCGGGTCTTCCGTCCGTCAAATCTGTCCTGGTCCTTTGACCAATCGAACTCTGGCGACTATCAACTCTCCCCGCTTCACCCCTGCGGACTCAATTGCTGCCAACTCTCGTCTCTCCACAATCTCTCGACACTTTTCTTCGTCCTACCCTAAAAACCAACAGTCATCCAATATGGCTCCTATCGAAACCCAGCAGTATGACTACATCGTCCTCGGCGGTGGTAGTGGTGGCAGTGGAAGTGCCCGCCGTGCAGCGGGTTGGTATGGCAAGAAGACCCTAATCGTGGAAAGCGGGCGGTCTGGCGGTACCTGTGTCAACGTAGGGTGAGTACAAAGTATAACGCTGGCATACTTGATTGACGCTTTTTTCTGACAACATTTAGATGTGTCCCCAAGAAGATGACATGGAACTTTGCGACCATCAACGAGATGCTACACATTGGAAAGAGCTATGGTTACGACATCCCCGATAACATTGCTATGAACTACACCCACTTCAAGAACACCCGTGATGCCGTCATCAAGCGACTGAACGGCGCATACGAGCGCAACTGGGGTCGTGAAGGAATCGACCTCGTCCAAGGTCGTGCTGGCTTCGTCGAGCCCCACACCATTGAGGTCAATCTGGCTGATGGCTCCGGCATCGCCCGCTACACCGCACCCCACATCCTTTTGGCGACCGGTGGCCGGCCCAGCCTCCCCTCTGTGCCCGGCGCCGAGCACGGTATCACTAGTGATGGATTCTTCGAGTTGGAAGAGCTTCCCCCGAAGGTCGCCGTTGTCGGTGCTGGCTACATCGCCGTTGAGATTGCTGGTGTCCTCAACGCCGTTGATGTTGAGACTCACATGTTCATCCGCGGCGAGAACTTCCTGCGCAAGTTCGACCCTATGATCCAGAAGACTATGACTGATCGCTATGAGGCCGCTGGCGTCAATCTTCACCGCAACCACGGCGGTTTCAAGGAGGTACAACTCATCCGCGATGGTAAGGGCAAGGATCGCCTGCTCAAGCTCATTGGCCACGATGGCTCTGAGCTCGAGGTCAACGAGCTTCTCTGGGCTGTGGGTCGTGCGCCCGAGGTCGAAGACCTGCAGTTGGATATCCCTGGTGTTAAGCTGAATGCCGGCGGCCACGTCGTGGTTGACGAGTACCAGAACACCTCCGTTGAGGGTGTCTACGCTCTCGGTGATGTGACCGGTCAAGCTGAGCTGACTCCTGGTGAGTTGCCATATTCACCTTTTAATTTTTTAAAAAGATATGCTGACTGAATTCCGTAGTTGCCATTGCTGCCGGCCGCCAACTCGGTAGCCGCCTTTTCGGTCCTCCCGAGTTGAAGCACTCCAAGATCTCCTACGAGAACATTCCTACAGTCGTCTTCTCTCACCCTGAGGTCGGCTGCGTCGGTCTCACTGAGCCCGAGGCCCGCCAACGCTACGGCGATGACAAGATTAAGATCTACCACACCAAGTTCACTGCCATGTTCTACGATGTCGGCTTGTCTCCCGAGGAGAAGGCCAAGAACCCCACCGAGATGAAGATCATCTGCGCCGGTCCCCAGGAGAAGGTGGTTGGTCTGCACATCCTTGGTCTTGGTGTCGGCGAGATGCTGCAGGGCTTCGGTGTCGCTGTCAAGATGGGTGCTACTAAGCAGGACTTTGATAGCTGCGTTGCTATCCACCCTACTAGCGCCGAAGAGCTTGTGACCATGCGGTAATGCTGTTTCAGAAGGGTAAAAGAAGGGATATGTGTGAATAATAGTCTAGAATATTCCGATATTTATATGATTTTAATCTGTTCTTGACATAGTACATCCCTCAACGGAGCTAAGTGACTACATTATGATCCCCCATATGTTGATATCCCTCCATCCTCCTGTTCGACAAGTATGATGTCACATGTAAAAGAACTAGCGAGGTATATTTAGAACCAACTTAACGCAAATAAAGAAATTAAGAGAGAGACAGGGAAAACAACTGCAGACTCAAAAACTCCACCTATTATTATTGATAGTCCAGTGCCGACCTCGGGAAGGAGAGTCACCTAGGGCTTGGAGAGGCTAATAGATTTATACCCTTACACTTCTAATTGGAATCCATCGTGATGAGTAATCACACACAAACCCCATGGAGGGGCCATCTGCTAGGTGCCCCGCAGACAAGATTATCCTTTTCATCTGATCATATCTCTTTCTAAAACTTTCATCTGAACTACGGTCAATCGTCATGCTGAATACCCACACAACCCAAACAAATTGCTGGGCAAAGAGTCATATATGTAACAACATATATATACATTTGACCGCCCACGTGGACCATCCAAACCAGTAGGCGGTACAATTCTGCCCGAAAATGGGTGTTATATTGAACTTTAAGGATATCTTTTCGCCCTTCGGGGCATATGGTCAAATGAAAATATACAGAGAAGATTAGCATGGCCCCTGCACTAAGGATGACACGCTCAATCAAAGAGAAGCTACCTATTTTTTTTTTTTTTACATGTCTTTCGTTATAGAGATAGGGTGAGGTCATTTTGTCGATATAAAAAGGTATCATTTTGCTATTTCGATATTGGGAGGCACGTGCTATTCTGAACGGTCGGTGTTCGATTTACACCATGCGCGAATGCAGATCTGACTTTAAATATTTACCACTATGATATTTTATAAATTTCTATTTCGTAGTATTGAATGAATGCTAGTTGACTATCATATGACAACATTTAGTAATATATGCAAAATTTATAGTGTATGTGGGGCTTTTCTCTTTTTCGTAGCCGTGGGGGTGTCGGCAAGTTGATGTGCTGATGTCGAGGTTGAGACGAAAAGGATACATAGATTATTAGTGTATCCGCCTCTAGCGGACAGATGATGGCCAGATCCCTCTATATTTACAATATATCAAGCGAAAAGAGAGAAGATAGACCGCTACAAGTCTCCTCAAGAGCCCCATTATTGGCACCACATTAGCTGCCCCGCATACTACGAGCCTCCACATGGAGAAGAGCTGGGGAAAAGGGAGCTTGGGATGTCCCCTTTATGAAATCCATAATTTCCCCAGTTAAATCACTTTTCGTACCAAGCAATTCTCCTGCAACAAAACAGCCTTTTGCCCAGCATACAACATCATGGCGAACAAGCTTAATAAAAGCGCTCCACCCTTCCGGGCTGAGCATATGGGCTCACTACTACGTCCAGACGACTTGATTGAGGTGCGCGAGAAGATTGCCGACACCGGAATCTCCGCCGAAGCCGCCGGACTGCCTGCCATCGAACAAGAATCTGTCCGTGAAGTCGTCAAGATGCAGCAAGACCTTGGGTTTAAGGCGGTTACTTCTGGCGAGTTCAACCGCACCCGATTCTGGGGATTGATGTGGGATGAGTTCCAGGGTAAGTGATGGACATATTTATCTCCAAATACTGGAAACAAACAAGCAAGCGAAGAAAACACAAAAACTAAACCAACTCCTAGGAACAATCCGCCTCCAAAACGCCGAAGCCTCGATGTTCAGACTCTACCACCCAGACGTGGTAAGCCTAATCGAAAAAGACCACAAAGTAATGCCCGGCGACTCCGTGATCGCAGCTAGCAAGCTATCCCACAGCCCCTCAAGCTCACAGTCCAACCTACACGAACTCCGTCTTGTGCAGGCGTCGCTGCCACAGAGCGAATGGACCAATATCAAGCTGACGATGATCACGCCGGCGTGGTTCCACATGCGCTATAAGCAAGGACGGGCATACACGGCCGATGCCTATTCCAACGACGCGGAGTACTTCGCCGACGTTGCGAAGGTGTATCGTGCCGAACTGGCGTCGCTGTATGCGGCTGGACTGCGGAACGTGCAGTTTGATGATCCCGGGATGGCTTATTTTTGCTCTACGGCGTTCCGGGAGGGCTGGGAGGGTGATTCTGATAACGAGGGGTCTGTGGAGGACTTGTTGGATGCTTATATTAAGTTGTATAATGATTCACTTGTTGGATTGCCTGCTGATATGCATACGGGTATTCATCTTTGTCGGGGGAATTTTATTGGTGGGCGACACTTCTCGGAGGGATCTTATGATATCATTGCGAAGAAGTTGTTTGAGGACTTGCATGTTGATACTTTCTATTTGGAGTATGATACTGAGCGGGCTGGGGGCTTCGAGCCGCTGAGGTTCTTGCCGAAGAACAAAAATGTCGTGGTTGGGATTATCAGTACCAAGTTGCGTGATTTGGAAGATAAAGAGGCTATGAAGGAGCGTGTTTACTCGGCTGCTGATTTTGTTGCTGAAGGGTCTGGGGAGACGAGGGCGGAGGCGCTCAAGAGGGTTTGCATCAGTCCTCAATGTGGGTTCAGTACCCATGAGAGTGGATACCCTCTTCTTGTTGAACATCAGAAGAAGAAGTTGAGTCTGGTGAGGGAGATTGCGGATGAGATTTGGGGAGAGGCTTGAGAAAGGTGATTCTGCTTGAGAGATGAGTTCTTGGCCAATTTCAACAGCAACAAGATCCTCAGGGATACGTATGTATGTATGATCCGTATTCAACATGGGCTTTTTGATATATACTTATGAATAACCTACTAGCAAATCATTAAAATGGAATCGTTTCAATTGAAAGACTGATAGACTGATAGACTACAGTGACTGCATCTACGAAAATGATACCCTATCCAGAATGCTTACAAGCCCAAGTAGAGCACTTGCGTCGGAGGCATAGGAAAGTCACACATGCAGTTCAAATGCAGGAAATTCAGAAAACATCAGGTAACATGTATGAGTGTTCCTTGCGCGTGATCATGCGAAAGTCCGGGCGCAATACATTATCCCCAGTTCATTTAGAAAACCAAATGCTCGTAGATCCAGATGGAGATTTGTTGAAATAGTCTCAAATCACACGCAGGTAATGACCATGCCGGCGGTCAGACCACGTTCCAAAGGACCCCAAACGCCAGAGCGTTGAAGTTTTGGCCTGGTGGAATCAATAGAGATGCAAGTCGTGGTAAACGGCGCCTGCGCCGTGAAAGTGCCCCCGGAGAAAAGGAGGATGCAATATTTGAAATAGCTGGTGGCAGGCTCAGTCATTTTGTGACGGAGCGTGAGGATCACCCCCGGAAGAGCCTGTGCCGACCTGATCCAGCGCGACGGCATGAAGTGCTGGCTTCTCGGAAATATGTAGCAGGCCATCTTCTTTAAGTTTCATTTGCTTTTTCACCCACTCGGCCACTTCTTCATCCGCGGTCATGGCGGATGAAGCGGCATCGCCGGAGCCGGGCTCCTGAGGTGGTGGGGCGCTGTCACCACCTGACTCGGTTGGTGGCTGCATGAGAGGGGAAAGCCAAGGGTGTCGGAGTAGCATGTTGTAAGTTGGTCGGTTTTTCGGGTTCTTATCGAGACAGGCCCGGACGAACGCGTGTGCTGGTTCAGAGAATCCCTCGGGTAGTGTTGGAGGATCTCCATGGACGATAGCCTAAAATGGACAGAGTTAAAATGTTGAACTTGGAAAACCATTATCAGAGTACTCACGTGTAACTGGCTGAAAATGTTGTTGAATGTTTCCGGTGGGTATGGGTATCGGCCCATAGCGCATTCGATGATGGACAAGCCTAAACTCCAAACATCGCTCTGCACGCTGTATGTACCGGCACTCGGCGCTCCCGACTGTTGCATTCCGCCTCCTGCGATCCGTTCCGGTGCCATATAACTCTGGCAACCAATATTGGTTTTCGCAATACTAGAGACCAGATTTCCGCTGACACCAAAGTCGCAGATCTTGACTTGACCCTTGCTGTTGACAAGGACATTGGTTGGCTTCACATCGCGGTGGATAATATTGTGGTCCTCCTTCAGTGATTTCAATCCCATGATGGTGGATAGAGCCACCTTCCGTAGAATGTTCTCAGGAAGACCGCCTTCGTAGAGCTTGTCGATCGAGCCGCCATCCATGAACTCGACACACATATAGACGGCGCCTTCCTGGAAAAAGGCTCCATAGAAATCAATGATGAATGGAGATATACAGCGGTGCAGAATGTCCAACTCCATAATGATTTGTGCAAACTTGGCTTCGTCCAATTCCAAGCGAATTTCCTTCATGGCCATGACCACGCCTGAGAGTTCATTCGATCCAGAATCTGGACTCGGTTCATCGTGGCCTGAAGGACGACTGACAATGCCACCCAACCCTAGACCAGGCTTTCGCAGATGCGGGCGAGAGTGTCGAACCTTATAGACCGTTCCGTAATTACCCTTGCCCAACTCTTCCAAGCGATCAACTTCATCCAAAGAGATCTTGAAGCTGTGGCCCGACGAGAATTCCACACCACCTCCGTGTAGCAGAGCTTTGTTTTTGAAGTTCAGAGTGCCCTCTTTCGTGTCAATGAACTCGGAGTATTTGCTGAAGGCAGACTCCCCATTTGGTTCGCCCTGCTTTTGATCTGTACCTGCTGCAGGAGTGGGAGGACCAGTGATATCCGATAGCTTGAGGCCCGGATTTATGCGCTTCGGTTTCGCTCCGGACGGAGGCGACTTAGCGCCAGGGACAGTGGGGGAGGGGAAAGGGGAAGATGACCAATTTTGAGGATTGGGCTGCGGAGCACCTTGGCGGGATAACGAGAATGCCTTCATTTTTTCCAGAATGTCTTGATTTAATACACCGGTCCCTTGTGAACTCATCGATGGCTTGGGGTGTGGCGAAGTCCCAACACCCCGGCGCGCAGCATTGACCTGACCTAGGTGTGTAGATGAGGCAGATAACCCGGTTCCCGAAGATTCGCGGGAGGGAAGGACAACGGGGTTGGAGGTCTGTCGGGGAAACAGAGGAGCCGTGGGATCGCTAGGGGAGGGAGCATCGGCTTCAGGCGCGACATCCTCAGGGGCGAGGTCTCGTTCATCAGTCATGGCGAGATGAAGGTGGGCTATCGGGGGACGAAGTTGAGCCGACACCAATGGCCGGTGTGATTGCTGTAATTATGCCGTTTTGGACTTGGCTGCACCGGATGGTAGCGCTATGGTAGAAAAGAAAGAAAAGAAAAAAAACCAGGCGAAAGCAAAGATGACAAGCGAAAGCGAAAAAGGGTGATCTAGCGGAGGGAGAAATGAGGGGCAGAAATAGGTGAAATCGCAATGTGAAGTCACTTCGGGTCGCGATAGAACGTGGGGAAACCCGATTTCAATACGGCGTATTGTATATTTCTAGTATTTTCTGTTATTTTCTGTTATTTTCTGGTATTTTCTAATATACTCGGTCTTTTTCTTTCTATCTCTCGAAATCTATACATAGAACATCTTGATATACTATATCTACAGATATTTCTTCATTTCCACATTTTACCATCTATACTTGCTTTCTCTCTCTATTATTTGTTGTATATTCAAGGAATTCAATCTTCAACCGGGCCGCTACACCAGCCAATCACATGACGCCAATCAACTAAAAGCAGGTTTTCTCCGTTTTATCCCCCTAAGTCTGCCGTGTTTCAATTGAAAAAGTGGCTTCATTTGATAAGGTGTAGCTGACGACAACCTGCATCCTTATTATTGTTTACCCGATTTTTCTATGTCTTTTGACGCCCCATTCGAACGACCACGCCAAGACGTTTCCCGGGTCTGACAACCCCAGTTGTGGAACGGCATTGGAAGCCAAAGTACCCTTTTGAGACGGGATCCAGTTGACGGGGGTTAGGGATTGCGCCAAGACAGGGGTACTTTGAGATCATTGTGCCAACACGGTACTCTCGGACGTGCTGGCCCTGCACCTCATTGCGAGTCGTTGACTCATCCTACTCCACTGTTCTCCCGGACATGGCCGGTTGTTGGCTCGGATAAGCGGTCCCATCACCCCGGGGCCGACAGGACTCGGGGCCTTGTTTCCAAGTTGAGGAAACAGCTGAACCTGAAGCACGTTCCTTCGACCCGGGATGAGATAAGGTTCGATTGGTCAATCTACTTTAATTTACATAGTACACCGCGTTCAGTATACCTATCGCTACTATTGCGATCAAATAGATGAAGGTATCGAAATTGTACCTGGAAACAGACGGCTTGACATAGCGGGGCAAAACGCCTTGGGGCACGCAGTGTCCCCATTCGAGGTCTGAGCCCGACATTGAAATCGCCTTACCGAAATTTATCTTTAAATCACATGTTTCCTTCAATCTGTGGTTGACATTCTTATTCAAAATTGGTATGATTCGAGCGTCTGAATCTTATCATCCAATGTGTCCGAATATTCATGGCAAGACATATCCACCGTCGATAAGTACATCACTTCCGGTCATATAGCTAGATGCATCACTGGCGAGGTACAGATACAATCCCTTGATTTCCTTCACGTGGCCTTGCCTTCCAAGTGACGACATGCGATATGCCTCCTGGAGGGCTGAGGGGCCGGCTCCCATCTTCGTATCGAAGAAGCCTGGCGAGACAATGTTGACTCTCGCAAAATCCCGCCACTCACGGGCAAGTGATTTTCCAAAGTGAGTGACGTACGCTTTGGTCGCATTGTAGACAGGCTGGTCAGTAGGAACGTTGACAATGTGTGCGCTCATACTCGAGGTAATAATGAGATTGCCATGTCCTTGCCGTGCGAATACCTCGCCAGCATACTTAGAACAATACACAATGCCGTCAACTAATTCTCTGTTAATACCACGATCCTTCATTTTGTTAAAAGAACAGATTTCATACCATTCACGGACATCTGCTTCCTGTACTCTTCCAGAGTCTGTTCCAAGATAGGCTTCGAGATCGCCATGCCTTCTCTAAATCAGCTGTCTGTCATACATCGAGATCGCCGCGAGAAACTAACCTGCATTGGCAATGAACACATCAATCTTGCCGAAATCTGTCACGACCTTTGTTATCGCCTGGGATACTTGAATGGACTCCGAAACTGCAGACCAAAGCTTAGCATTCTGGCACCTTCTTGATGGACATTAAGCTCCGCTTACCATCAACCTTGTAAGCGAAAGCCTTTATACCATGTTCCTTTGCCAGGACCTGGGCTTTCTCAATGGCGACGTCATTTCTGTTAACATGGTTAACCGATTACACGTAAGACAGATATCGAATAGAGGAATACCTACGAATTATACCACAAGGCAACATGAGCACCAGCTTCGGCCATAGACTGTGCTATGGCATGACCAAGTCCGTCGGCAGCCCCGGTAACAACCACCACCTTTCTGTTCATTTTGAACTGCTCCAAAACATTTGAAGGCGTATCCGGGAATGGACGAGGAAATCCCTCCCGGTTTTGAGCGCAGTCTTCAGTGCTCATAGACATATTGGATATTTTGTGTAGTGGTTGAGGTTTCAAAAGGATGATGGGATAACCCCTCTTTATAAAGCATCCAATGTGGTGTCTCCGTTGACCCACCATCGGTGCAGTGTTGGCCGAGACGATCTAGGGCCGAGCATTACGTTGTATACGTGTGACCTCAATATTTCAATTAATTTAGGCTATGAGCAACATTACTAGTTATATGTGTATGGAACTCCTTACCTATTTTGCGTAAAAGTTGATCCATGCACAGAGAAATTGTATTCGACATTGACAGGAATGGTTTTGAGGATAAAGATCATCCGGGAGCATCTTCTTCCTCTCAACCTGCTTGATCACTAGTTTGTCTTTCAGAGGATTGTAACGGATAATTGAACACCGACCCCAGTTCCTAGTCAGCCGTAATATACGATTAACGAGTTTAAAAACCCTAAAACCCCCTGGTGGTTGCTTTGAGGTCCGGCATTTGATGGATTTGGTTGTCTGATAATAGAAGACATGGCAATATCAGTTGACTTCTTAAAAGAAAAGCATAACTGTATACCTGATATGTCACTGATTCGTTAAGCCAACTCGTTGAGATAACTCCATGAGTTGACAGAGCACCAAGGGAGGGAAGGGTAAAACTGCTATTTGCATTGCTGCTAGTTGGACGATAGCAGGAGAGAAAATCTATATGTACAGGGAAATAAGGACCTACAAACGGAAGGGAGCTAGCCTCAGGCCACCACTACAAACAGGACTTCTGTACATCCGTGGCCAACCTTTGAAGCATCCATATTAGTATTCTCCTCCGTGCCTCTTCCTTTGGTCCCCCGTCGCTTAGGCTTTCACGTCTTGAGCCATGCAACCCATCCGAAGAAGAGAGTTCATGTCGCTCGTTGAACAAACCAAGCCAAGCGCCTAATGATATACGTATAATCAATGTTCCATGTTGCGCTAAGGATAGTTACTACAACGGCATGTCTTTCCAATCTAGCTACATAGATAAGACATAGGTAATTGTAGTCGGCGCAGGTGTAGGGGTAGCCCTCGGTGAGTGTTTTATTGCAACGCTTGGTGGGCTGCCCGTATCACCGGCCGATGGAACACGAGCATCGTCTGGCGGCTCAGACGGCATGCACTGCAGCCCAATTCAGCTCACAGCAGGCTAGTCAATAGAGGGGATTTATTGGCAATCTGGAATGAATGAATATTTTCGTAGTCTGTAGAGGTCTGGCCCAACTTAAAGTTGTTTATTACATATGGTAGCCTTCACCTATGCATATTCGTATAGATTGCAGATCATCTGGTGCGCTAGGAGTCGACATCCGCTATCATTCCATCCTGGGTTTAAGTAGGAGAGCCGTAGCCTGATTGTCCTATTACGTTAACCCAATCAGAATATTGGAAGTTGCCCATCTAGTGAAAATACGACACAAAGCGAATGCAAAAATAGCCCGTTCAACAGCCTACTAGCTGTCGTATCGTTAGAAGTAGTAAAAAGGAAGAGTATGATAGTGTAAATAAAGCAACCAAAGTAGAGTAGTTAATAATATAACTAAGATGATAAACTTTTCTCATGCATAATCTTCGATTGTTCAATTGATGGTTGGTACACAACAGGACACATAAATCCGGTTACAAAGGTTACTCCCTGCCCAGAACTTGAGGTGGTGACCTAGAATATTTGGACGCCTTCTCCAAGCAAGTATTCAATTGTATCCATTGTTACACAGCATTCCCACTGATGAGAAATCCAGACGATTATGATCTGTCGGGGTTCACTCGAGGTCACACCATGCTACCAGAACATGCGAGCACGAATCCCAATGAAAAAGATAGTAAGAATGGCAAACCATGAGTTCTTGGCACGTTATCTAGATTGCAATCTGTGACATGAAGGGGTTTTTCGCCTTCGATATTGGTTCGACGGGGTAGTACAGCTATGCCGATCTTGTGTATGACTTCCTTTCAAGTAATCTGTTGGCACGCTTTGGGTGTGCTACGCACATCAAGACCCTGTTGCGCATAATAGGTATTGCGAATGGGTATTCTACTGGCTGTGAGGGAAAGGAAATACATTCGAGATCGATTTGAAGTAGTATCGTGATGGCGCAATGTGTCTTGAGTGTGGTTGATGGGAATATGATAAAAAGCCTGGGAAAGACCATCACTGGAAAATATTCTACAAACAGAGTCTAAAAATATATTTCCAACAAGCATACAATATTGAAGCTTACGCTCGAAGTGTTTCAAATTTCACCACTATGCATCTTGCTGAAGTATTAAAACGATATGCAGGCCATATTCATTGATACCTAGCTAACACATTTACTTCTATTGTAGTATCTTTTCCGCCGCATTCATGAGCTTGGAATTCGTTCCATCTTTGGTGTCCCTGGCGATTACAATCTAAAATCCCTTGACTACATTACGCCATGTGGTCTCAACTGGGTCGGTAACGTGAACGAGCTCAACGGCGGTAAGTAGATGGACATACTTTCCACTTCGACCAAAAAGCATGAATCTTATTATGTTACACCCATAGGCTATGCCGCCGATGGTTATGCCCGCATCAAAGGAGTAGGGGCAATCATGACCACATTGGGCGTTGGGGAGCTTTCAGCCATCAATG